TTGCATATTGGGACACGGCCAAAGCAACCCGAGATCTGCTGGATCATGGCATCCAGAACTATAGTTGGACACACATGCTTTAAGCTGGTTCTCTTTTTTCAGCTTTTATTTATTCTAAATTGTAATGTTTAATACACGCAATGAAAGAATGTGTCCATCTACTGTTTATTACAATTTACATCTCTTTACTGTTGCATGTGTACTGGGGAATTAGTAAAGGCAGAAAAACCACTCACCAGTCCACAGACTCCCCCTGCTCGTTCCTGCAGGACACGGCTGCACCAGCAGTGAGTCCACTGTGTACAAATATCATCACCGGCCAGATCAGTAGCATCCAAACAGCATCCTAATGGAAACAAGGGCTCAAGAAATCTGGTTTGTCCTTCTCAATTGTCTACAATCAAACCATCAGATTTTACAGAAAAATGCAATAATAAATCAGTACCAAACTGTTTTCCTTCATTATAAAATGCCTAGCATTTTTTCAAACCTAGAAGCTTAACCTTTTAAGACAAATTTGCATGTAGTAACAAATGTATTCATGTTGAGTCAAACCTTTCCAGCTTGTACTATATCTCATGCTTAAGGCTGGCACACAAGACAAAGTAATATTTCAGTTCACACTTCACTTCATACACAGCATTTACGGTCTATTTCCTGTGGCTTTTATTTTTTTCAAGTTACAGCGCAGTTCTTTCTTGGATTAATGTGTAATTTATTGTAGTGCAATATGGATGTAGTGCTATGCTATCAGTCATTAAATGGACATTCAGCATTTTCTATTATGCTTTCATTCCCAACAAACAAAGGTAAAAGTGTATGTGAATTCTTGAGAGATTTCCAATAAAGCCATCCCATAGTCATTTTCTAGTTTATAAGTCCAGAACAACCCCAATGGTAGAAAATGAAATGTAGGCAATATGTTAATAGTTGCAAAAATAACAATGCAATAATGATGGAGTAATAAGGGACTCAAAGGCTACATAACTAAAGGCTAAAGCTAGGAGCCCAGATGACAACTTAAGCAAGACAATCCTCAACTCGTACTGCTGAGGGTGAGTAAACGCGGCTTGTGAACGATACTTCTTGTGTGACTAAATTCAATCACGGAACATTCTAATTCAATTTTCAAAACTAATGAAAGAAAAACAGACACTTACCATGAGTGTGGCCTTGAAGCAGGTTTTAGTCTTTCAAGACTAAGGAGAGACAATACAGGCAGCTACTTCAGTTTTCTCACTTCTCCAATTCAGGCCACGAAACCCGAAAGTGTTGCAAGACCGAAACTTGCCTAAAAGAATGCACACAATGCAAAAAAAGGCATTTTGCAATTGACCTTGAAAGACAAGGAACTATTTGCAGTTCTGATTTTCCGGTATATTCAGTATTAGTTACGTGAAAGGACACTGTAAATCAGACTATGATCTAGAACAGAATTTCTCAGTTAGGTACTTTGATTATTTTTACATCATTAAAGCAGTTTAAAATAATATCATCACAAACTGCTATTGTTACATTTGTGAATCAAAATAACATATCAATGAGTGTTCATTTTATAACAGTCTTGATGTTCTTTCACCACAACAGGGTTTTAATTAAATTAAAAATACATTCTGTGTCCTAACTCCCAACATACGAGGACATGGACAGTGATTTTGCCCAATCAATGCAACTCACATAGGATTAAAAAGACCTGCTGAGCGATTGCTGTATCCAATTGCTCTTACTTTAAATCTGTGCTACTATTCATTTCAGGAACCAAAGAATTTTAATAGGCCAGTGAGAGCACATTTCACCTCTATTTAAAGAAGCTCTCAAATACAACAGTGTGGTGGGTCAGCAGTGTTGATGCACTAGTTTAAGCTGAGGGGGTTCAGGCCTCAATCATGTGTACACAGACCCACGTGGGGGTGAATTAGCTAATAAGTTAAGGGTGAGAGGCACATTCTCAAATGGTTTCAATTAGCCTAGGTTTGGTACAGTTTATAAATAGTTCTATGGGAGGATTTGTTGTTGTTGTTGTTGTTGTTGTTGGTGGTGGGGCAGCTTGTGACAATTTTTTTTCTGCAGTATTTCCTTTCTGTTGTGGCTTGTCCATATGCTGAGGCCTAATGAGGTCTGAAGAGGCTGGCTTGTCTAAGACAGCTATTTCAGTCTTCCTTTTATTAGCTTGTATTCATATTGTTTTTTAATACAGAGAACAATTACTTTATTGCATATTACAAATGGGCATATTGGCAAGCTAAAGATAAAATGTAGGAGTCCTTATATTAAAAGAGCATTACAATAACTGACATTGGAAACAGTCTAAGGAAGAGAAACCAGAATAACTCCCACATTGAAAGGTACAGTATTGTGTTGTAAACTGAGAGGTTAAAAAAACTTTATCACTTTTGGCTGGAGGATTGAAGATGTGGAGACTTGAGTATTCAAAATCCTGAAAAGAACTGAGAATTTGGACTCAGACAGCTACAGTACTTCACATTCAACATGGGGGGTGGGAGAGAATTTGAAGTCTGTGATGGAAAAGACGTGCTGTGCAATCCAATTCACAGGAGTGTTACAAAGAATCTTTTATCAATAGTTACTATCAACCAACAGAAAAGTTGGGCAGAATATCTTTCTCTCGCTTGTAACCTTTTAACATTCCTGGGCTAGAACTTTATCAAAATTGAAAGTTTAAAACCGTACATTGAGGAAGCAGCTGTGCTCAAGGTATAAGTCCCTTCACCCAGTTTTGCATAAGCAGAGTTTTTTCTGGGTTTACACTTTCAGACCAATATTTGAAATCCGTTCCTACTTAAAATTTTGTTTATACAGACCCACAAAATTAAGCTAAATAATTAATTGCTAACACTTATATTGCACTTTACAGGTAATGGGGACTCCCCTCTGCCACCACCAATATGCAGCATCCACCTGGATGATCTTAGCAATCATCTACAAACAGTGCAAAGCGGTTTTCACTTTCTTCAAATATCAGTGATGCATTAAAATTGGACTGAACACTATACTTCCAAGAACAGAAGTTAGTGTTTTTAGTGTTTTTCTTGGTGTGTAATAGTGATTCTATTTATCTAAGCAGGTAGGTACAGTGGGCTCAAGAATTATTGGCACCCTTGATAAAGTTGAACAAAACAAGCTGTATAAAATACACAGCACAGATAATGAGTCTATCTTATGCCCAGACAATGGGAATTATTTCAAAACAAATGTTTAAAATGAGTAATACATGTTTTTTCCAGAAACATTAATTTCAAAATTATTAGATCCCCCACCTTTCTTTAAGAAAACTGAACAAAATAAAATCTGAAATGAAGTTCTGCTTTTTTAAATATTACTCAGTCAAAAGGAACATTTTCTGGACTTGCTGTTTCACCAGGGTATAAAAAGAGGTAAACACACATAAACACTTTGGCCATCCACCACCATGGGGAAAGGCAAAGAAGTGACAAATTAGTATTGATCTTCACAAATGGTAAAGAATCCAAGGGTCACAGCTGGAGAACTGCAGAGTCTGGTTGCATCTTGGAGTCCTTGAGTCTCTAAATCAATAATTAGATGGTACATCCATGCCAAAAAGCTATTTGGAAGGGTTGCCAGAAGTAATTGATAACAAGAAACAAACTGAAGTGTCTGGAGTTTGCCAAATGCCATTGGGACTTTGACTAGAACTCGGTGCTATGGTCGGGTGAGACCAAAATTGAAGTGTGTGGCCACTCACAACACCAGTACGTTTGGCGTTGGAGAGGGATGCATACTCACACAAAAAAACGTATATTCACTGTGAAATATGGGGGTGGAACATTGATGTTGTGGGGTGGTTGTGATGCCACTGGGGCCCTTATTAAGGACAAAGGTATCATAATCTCTACTAAATATCAGGATATTCTGGGCAAAAATCTGGCTGCCTATGCCAGAAAGCTACATCACGATTTGGTCTCTGGTGGACCTCCCAGCATGACAATGATCCTAAACACACCATTTAAAAATCAACTAAGAAATGTTTGAGAGAAAACAAAAATCAATGTTTTTCACTAGTTTACCCAGTTTTGGGGTATATAAAATATAACTAATTATCTGTGCTGTTTATTTTATATGTGGTTTTTTGTTCTTCATTAAGGGTGACAATAATTTGTGAGCGCACTGTAAGGTGGTAGAAGAAAACGGGAAGAAAAACAGTGCCAACAGGAAAAATAAGATATTTGAGGAACACAGCACAAGATGCTAGTAGAAACGTTTTTTTAGAAGAAATCATGTTGTGCACATTTTTTCCCTAGGCAAATATGACCCAGCTCCACCAACAATGGAAGTCAGGAATATCTGCGTGCCTCAGCAAATAATATGCTGTTATCTTAACTTATTGATTAGAGATTAGATGCACACAACAAAAGAGTGCTGGTAGACCAGGAATTCCACCAATCTTAATATATTCAGAGCTGCGAGCACCATCATTTATTGGCTGTAGATGGGATCCGCACAACAGAAGACAAAAGCACAAAATGAGGAAAGATTTCACGGAACTGCTGGTGGTAACCCAACCAAACCTATAAAGAAAAAACATTTGCGCAACATAATTATAATTGACATTTACAACCAGTTTCCTCTTATTTTAAATGAAGAGCTTTGCCACTACACTTCAAAGGAAAAAAAGCTATTTTCTGATAATAGATGAATGGATTGATAATTGCAGTCGTTGGGTGTTTATTCTTTTGTGTTAGCCATCAACCCATGTTTAAACCTATACATTTTAGTTGTTCTGGAAAGAAATACATTTGCATTTGAGCAACTTTTTTTCTTGCTTTTCAGCAAACATTAGCTTCAAAATATCAAGCGGCATTTGTTAAACCTGAGCGCAATTAACATTGCTCTGCATTTGCAACAAATAGATACAGAAAGAGTCAGCGTACTGTAACTGAATTGCAACAATAGGGTCAAACATTCCCCCTCTTACAGTTTAAACATGTCTCTGCACCTAACAAACCAGGACACAGCCCCCCTGAAAGCGTGGTAGATAACAGGGTTTTGTGAGCAAATAAGTCCTCCACTTTTCCACTGCTGGCAGTCCTCTCTGTTTAGATCTCCAATGCAGATCCACTGGTCTTCATACTCCTGGGATACACACCACTTGGCATGATCAAAGTGAGACCAGAACTCCACAGGTCCCGGCAGTTTAATTCTTTTGATATTTAAAACGTGTTCAGGAAGGGAGCAGTTCGAAGGCAGTTCATGCTCTTTTCGTTGCCAGGTTTCCGTCAACAGAGTAGTCTTTAAAACTTGAGCAGCCCAGCCAGTGTAGATGTCTGTAAAAGACAACCCTCAAGTATGTAAACAAAGTAGAAATATAAGGCATTTAACAGCATCTACAAGGGAAAGCCCTTGTAGCAAGACAGTTATAGAAGCGCAACATGTGTTTCTGCCCCACAGATGTGAACTACAAATGTGCAGTTTGTATGTTCTCCCCGTGTTTGCAGGGGTTTCCTCTGGGTGCTCCAGTTTTTGGTCCCACAGTCCAAAAACAACAGACTAGTTGGGTTAATTGGCTTTTGGGAAAATTGACTCTTGGGTAAGTGCTGTGTGTTTTTGTCTCTGTATGCACTGTGATGGCCTGGCATCCTGTCCAGTGTGTATCCTGCCTTTTCCCCTTTGCTTGCTGGGATAGGCTCTGGCTCCCCAGTGACTTTATAGTGGATAAAGTGGTTAGAACACTGATGGATGATTCACTGTAGGTAGAGTGGATTTTTCATCTCAAAACTATGCGAACTCTGTTAAATGATTATTTTGAACCTAGGTCTTGTTTTCTTGGGATGTATTCTGCTTCTAGCAATATTACACACTTTGCAGTTTATTGCTGGTGATATACTATCGAATATGATGTTTTATGTTATTGCAAGATTATGAAAACAGACACATATACTGTATGGTTTAAATATTTTTCCATTCTGATATTATTATTATTGCATCTAATCTGAAATTGATTTTTAACTAAGCTTAGTTAAAAATGATCAAACTAAGATTGTTTTTTGCCAAATCTGAAAAGTTTGTTTCAGTTTATATATTATATTGGTGGCTAATATACCATTATATAAACTCATTGTACCATGTAAAGGATAGCTTTGAATAAAGTCAAGACCAAATTGTTTTCCCTTTTCGCTGTCTGCATTTTATTTTTAATGTTTGTCTGGGATGAAAAAATGTAATTTGTCTCATTCTTCTTCTGTCATTTTCATGTTTGGCTCTTAACAATGTGCGGCCTTTTGCAAACCTGTACATGCAACCACTGGCCAAAATATAAGCAAAGCCCAATTCTGTAAAGAGTAAAAACTATGACCAGGAAGTGGCATGTACAGTATCTCACTGGTTCTGAAATATCTGTAGCATCTTGTAGTCGCATTGCTTTACAGGATTTGCAATCTTTACAATAACAATTGCAGCAGAGGTTGTGATGACAGTAAGGTGTGCAGGACTGAGCTATGTTTTTAATAGGACCAAAATCTGGGCAATTTTCTGGCCTGTGAAAGGTGATGGAAGTCTCTGTCATGTTTCTCAAGACGACCAAGCCACACTTTTAATGTGAGAGCACAGGAATTCAAAGGGCATTTAGCTAGCTTGTTTTTAGGTCTTAAAAGTGCATTTACTTGGGTTGCCTCCACACTTCCATAAAGAAGAGAATACGTGCTAAAAATGAATATGCATTTGGCAGTGACCTGGCAACAGACGACTGCAAGGACAGAAGACTATAATACATCGCTAAGACAACACATTAAATCTAAATAAGTTCAAAGGGGCCACTTTGAATTGCAAATCACTGGAACGTAAGCATAACTACCATGGAGTATTTCAACATCTTTAAATGTGAATATATTTCTGGACGTTTAGAGAGTCAGAATCGACTGTTTTTATCTGACTCTCATCCTCAGTGCAGAATGCAAATCAGTGCTGTCGAGGAAGGTTTCTGAACTTAAACCAACTCCAAAATCAATGGGAAACCTACGTGACCAAACAAATGCTCAATTCCAGGAAAAAGATTCCAAATGCATATCCTGGTACAGAACCTTTGAAAAGGACAGTTGATATGTCAGATTGTAGTGGGTGTTTCATCACAGATCTTTTTGTACAGTCTTCGTGGTTTTAAAAGAAAACCACTCTCACCATCCACAAAGAAGCGAGACTTGGCAAGGCTGAGGAAGGTTTCTCCCTGAGCTGACAGCAGTTTCCCCATCCTCCTCCCCTGCACCCAGGGCTTTACAGAGCCCTCGCAAATGCAGCTCATTCTGGGCAGTTCGTGGCGAAAGACTTCAGGCAAGGAGCAGTTGTACACGCGGGGGTTATAATACAACAGTTGCTCAGCTGAGGAAAAAGAAAGGAAAACAACTTTATTGTTGGCTAAATCGCATCCTCTCACTTGCAATGCAAACACCTTATGTTGTTACAACAGTAACCATTATACCCGGGCCAGAACACCCACAGCCCACAAAGGTGCTGGAGGGCTTCGGCTTTATTTTTTCATACCTTCATGTCACTGAACTGTGAGGAAAAATAAACTGTTAATTTTTGTATGATTAAAATCAATAAATACAAAACTGAGGAAGGTAACACTACAAACTGTCTTCTGTGGAATAAGGAGACAAAGAAGCTAGAAGGGGAAATTGTGTTCTCCATTGAGAAGAGAAACATTAAGTTTTTTGATGCAGAAGCAGTTAATTTGGATTTCCCCAGCTTCTTAACACTGCCTGCTATATCTGAAGACCCACCACACTCAATAATTCCATTGTAGTGCTGGGCTACAGCACAAGTCTGCAGTCCTATGAAGCAAGGACTACACATTCAATTTACCCCACACATTTCATTCTATGGCTCGGCTCACGGTTATGAAGAAAAAAAAAATCTAAGCTGGCCCAACAAATATTGAATCTGGTAAATGGCCTCGCAGATAAAACGTCATTGTCGTCTCTTTCAATTTGAACTGAGCAATACAAATAAAAATAAAATGGTATTTTGCTATTAGCATCATGCTAGCTTCCCTATGTTGCGCACCTATCTGAGAGAATTGTGTCGATTTGTAAGTGATACAGAGTGCGGTCTGGCCGTTCAGTTTCCCCGAGGAAGGCCAGCTGTAGCCCCTTTCTGGGAATGGAGGGAAGTGGGGGACACTGTGACTGAGCCAGAAACCCTGAGTCTGGTCAAAGTGTAGGACTCCTGTGTGGACACACAAAGAGATATTACAACACACTGAGATAACAGATCACATTCTATGAATTCATATTTACAATGAACAGCAGTTATCTATTTATGAAGAGTCAGTAGATGATGGATTGCAAGTTATTACCCTTAACACAGTACTTTGAAAAGGTCAATAATAATAATAATAATTCCTTACACTTTTATAGTGCTTTTCTGGACACTCCACTCAAAGGTCTTTCCAGGTAATGGGGACTCTCCTCCACCACCACCAATGTGAAGCCAAAGTGTACACAGAACGCTCACCACACACCAGCTATTTAGTGGGGAGGAGAGCGGAGTAATGAAGCCAATTCATAGATAGGAATTATTAGGAGGCCATGACTGGTAAGGGCAAATGGGAAATTTGGCCAGGATGCTGGGGTAACGACTATACTCTTTGAGAAATGCCCTGGGATTTTTAATGAGCACAGAAAGTCAGGACCTTGGTTTTATGTCTCATCCAAAAGGACAGTGCCCTTTTAAAGTATAGTGTCCCCGTAACTATGCTGGGGTATTAGGACTCACATAGACTGCAGGGTGAGCACCCCTGCTGGCCCCACTTACACGTCTTCCCAGGAGGTCTCCCATCCAGGTACTGACCAGGCTCACAGCTGCTGAGCTTTAGTGGGCTGCCAGTTGTGAGTTGCAGGGTGACATGGCTGCTTTCTAAATGTATAACAGGTTGATTTATACATTGTGTTTAAATTAGTAGTGGCAATGATAAAGATGATACTGATGTTTGTATCCCTGGAAGCAATGGGCACAAGGAAGGTGACACCCTGGACAAGAAGCCAATTAATCACAGGGCAGATGCTGACAGTGACGCGCACACTAGAGCTAATCTTTTCTCAGAAGCCAATCAGCCAACCAGTATATTTTTGGACCGGGGCAGGAAACTGGAGCACCCAGAGGAAACCCTGGGAGAAAAGACAAGATGGCATCCTGAGTCCAAAATTGAGCCCAGGGCCCCAGTGCTGTAAGGTAGCAATGCTAACCACTGTACTACTGTGCTGGCTGGTTAGCAGCAGCAGCAGCAGCAGCAGTGGTAATTTTATACCCACCCAAACTAGAATTGGCGATTTTATCTGTACATTTCTGCTCACGCCCATGACCTTTGACCCAAGGTTTGTCCAACCTCTCTTACACAGTCATACACCTATTGACCCTACACAATGATGTACAGGACTTTTCCAGCCCATCAAAGAACGTGTATTCCCAGTGCTGAGCCACTTATACTCCACTACTTTCGAAATTCTAATTGCCATAACATGGCATAATTATAATTAATATAATTATAAGTCTTTAGAAGACATTAAATCTAATAAACAATGAATCAATGTCAATTTTATACTGATTTTATTATATAATTTCTATTATAGTTTAATATAGAAAAATTGATTATGTTTTTGAAAGAATATTCGTAATATAGTGATACAAATGCATCACTTTCTATGCTATGCTGTGCTTTTCTATGAAATGCTAAGAAACACTTTCAAACAAAAATAACTAGTATCTAATTATCAGGGTTCATACTAGTGTTATCTCGCTAACTTGCTAAAATATCCTGTAGAATTCTTTAAACATCTTTCTCACAATGATTTCATTATCCTAAAAAAAACCAACAATACCTCTTTATCAAAGAGGGGCAAGAAGAAAGTGATCAGGCAACTCTTTAAAGTTATTTAAAAGTGAGATGATTTGATAAGTTTTACAAAGAATACTTTAAAAAAAGTTCTTCTGATTGGTTTCTTTCTACATAAATAGAAGCATATTACCAGGAATATATAGATACAGGCTTGCAAACACTTTTATGTGCAAGCAGTTCAGGTGGGTAGCTGCGTCAGCATGTGTAGTCTTCAGAGGAACAAGTAATAGGTTTATTCCATGCTGAAAAGAGAAGAGAGAAACACATTTCAGCTGTGAAGCCTTCCTCAGGTTTGCTAAAGAAGAAGGCACACCTGCACACCTGAAGAAGGCTTCACAGCTGAAACGTTGTGTTTTCTCTCTTCTCTTTTCATCATGGAATAAACCTATTACTTGTCACGTATATGTGCATGTGTGTTTATTTGCTTGGACCTCATGATACTTCTGTAATGAATGGACAGTGTTAACCTTAGAAACAAAGGCACAATCCTTATAAAAGAACTCTGAAAGCAATCAAATCCAGTTAAAAGATGTTATTGTTATTCTGCTATCATACAGTGTATTGTAATTATGTGTTTCTTGATTAATACAGTAAAGATCATTTCTAAAGATAGTGTTAAACAGATTGTTACAGAAATTTAGTGCTTTGTAATCTGAAGATCTGAACTCAAATAAATAGTACAATTCCTGTTGTTTCATAATTGAAATTAATAGAAACTATGGCATAAAACAGCCTCTTCCTATACAATAGGAAAGAAGTAAATAAAGTTTCTTTGGTAGAGTGTATTACACTACGCACAACATTTACAGGCACATTTGCTTTTTACAGCATAAACTGGAACCTGTTTAACTTAATCCATTTTGTCAACATTGGTAATCTGGCCTGAGGTCCTTGTCCTCCTCCTCCCCCTAAGAATTTAACAGCATTGGCTCTTGACATGCTTCATCAGAGCAGAGGGGTGGAATGTAAATTGTTTTACAAACGCTGCGTGAAGCCGAAAGTGGACCCAAATGTGACGTACTGTAACAATCAAACAATCCTGTTTAGGTAGCATGAGGCTTAGAAAATTAAATAAAGAGAAAGGAAAATAAACTGTCTAGTAATTTAAATTCAGTTTGCATCAATATAACATTACTTTTTCACTACAATTCTGTTGACAGAGAACAGATTATTTGATCAGAAATAGTTCCAGTTTGCTGTTTGATTGTTGTACTGTCTTTTGATTGTTTGAATATTAATTTATGCATTTGTACACTTAAGTTTTAAATTGCTTTAAAAATAATGAGGTAGTGAACCCACCTACCCTGACAGGTAACAAACTCTTTGTTTTGTTTTTCTCACATAAAAATGTAGGAGAAAAAAATGTTTGACACTTCCACTTTTTGTTTAAGAGCATGCCTCTTAATCTTTGTGATTTTAATCTCATATGTTTATGAATCTTGGAATAATCTTTGTGTTTTTAATCATGTATGTTTATGAATCTTGGCATAATCCTTAAAAAGCCAACCAGACAACCCGCTTATAAATTCCATTTTGAGTACATGCAGCATGTTCAGAGGTGATTCAACATATTCATTTGCCTAGATTAATATGACAGTATAATTAGCAGGATTTTGAAAAAGTACCTTTTGTGTGTCCATAGTGCACTATATAATCCAGAGAAGGAGGGGCATCATTATACAGCATATATGCAGAGTTGTTTGACTATTGAAGGAGAACAAAAAAAATGAGATGGCTTTATTTCATGTTTTAAACATCAAAGATTCACAAGACAATAAACTGAATGTACTCTCAAACACGCCTTACAAGTAGTCTATAGTCTGTATTAAAAATTGATTTAAATTTGGAAAGATCTCACTTTTTGTTTTTCTGTTATGCATAGGCTAGGTGAAAAATAATCAATAATTAAGGTGGGTTCACTACTGTGAAGAATTCAGTTCGACTTAGTTCCTTTTTGTTAAGAATGCTGGCAGTACATCCATTGTATGACTCTGACAGTAATTATTTGACAGCTGAACCTTTGTAATGTTTGCAATGTCCAAAGATATTTTTTTTCATAACACAACAATTATGGTAACAAAGGATGCTGTCTAGGCTACAAAAAAGAACCTAGAATTGCCTGAATTTAGGAGCTTAGAGAATGAGAGAAGTCTGGTGTCTCTCTGCTCAGCTTTCTGGAGGGCATTTGTAATAATTGTTTTCAATACCACATTGAGCTGCTCTGTCACATTTTGCATTCCTGTAGTTAACATGGTAAATGAAAAACACATTTTTTTCATGAAATTCATATTTAATTGAATTTTAAGATTACACTGCCTGGTTTTACAGGTATATAAAAGAACAAATGTTGGTCCTGTGTGATCTTTGACCTCCAATAATTGCGTTTGCCCCACATTGTGATGTCTTAAATGATGTATTGAGTATTTCAATATTAAATTAAGTAAAGCTACTACATTTTATTGATTGGATTTGTAAATTTAATTTTTGATCTAGTCACATCCTTAACTATTTCAAAACAGAGTTTTAGGTAATGTATATGAAACACCTAATGAATTTAATAATTTACTATGTTGCTAACAACGTACCCACCCTAGAAGGATTTAAGGGGACCTAGACTACCCCACAGAAACAATTATCTCTTGAAGTTTACCACTGGTTTAGACCTTAAATAAACAGCTACAGATGTTATTCTCCAGAGCAGTGCTTTGTTCAATGTGCTAATGCACTAAACGTCTGGAATTTAAGTTTCAAAATTTCAACCATTAACCTGGCCTGGCCTGGCCTGGCCTGGCCTGGGCACCAAACCTCCATAGATGGCAGACACAGCACCACTCATTACTATTCCTAGATGGAGGAGAAAGATCGGAAAGAGATGTGGGGAATATTTCCCAGGGCTTTGTGTGAACGCCAGTTTCCACTGCTTTGGACAGAATAGGGGTGCACCTTCACCGTACTGTTCCTTTACTATAATATTTGGGTAGGGTAGTATTTCTGTCAGTGTCTAACCTTACAGCACACAGACAATAATACAGTAATAATAGTGGTGTTTTTTTTTGTTAGCCATGTATGCACTGTAATCTGTGCTGTGTCTCACCTTGTGTTTGTGCTCCTGGTACAGATGTTCCAGTGTTTTGCCAACGGCCGACTGACTTGTATTCACCAAGAACTTACTCAGTTGCCATTCTTTAACCGTAGGGTCCAAGTACATGTACTCGAGCCCAATTCCAACACTTCCAATTTTGTACTTGGGCAACTTGTAAATGATGAACCTGGAGGCAAACACAGTCAAAGTAAACATCATCAGCTGATAAGACTGAGAATGCAGCTGAAAGGACAGATCATGTTGAAATACAGGTACTGTAGGTCAGGAACTGCAGGTAATGCGATACCCGCAGTTCCCAGAGACACACAAACCTCACAGTTGCTGAAGACAAGCTCAAAAGAGAAAAAGTGTAAAACCCCCTTTTCTCTGTTTAGCTGAAAAACAAAAGCTGTTAACTTATAATTATATAATTGCATTCATATAACACTTTTCAATTAAAGGGATCCCAAAATGTTTAACACACAACTGGATACCTACTTCATCCACTACTGCACTTCTGAGGTATAAAAGTGAAAAACTGGAACATAAATTGAATTAATGAGACGTTTCAGGAAGCCAGAGTATAGGCTCATATGGTATTTACCAAGGATATACAGGTGAACCTTTAATCTTAAGAACAACTATACTTCTAATTATATTTACAATAAAACAGGCTGAATTTTACATTTTTTTATTCCAGAGTAATTCACTGCAAATATTTGTGAAATAGTAGGCAAAACTTGTAAAATAGCATGTAGCGTATGAAAAAAGAAAATGATTGTTCTAATCAGTTTTTGAAAACTAGCTGGGTAGTGCAGAAAAAAAGTGGAGCAAATCTTGTGCTGAGGGAATTAAGTGTCTCACTGATACTGTACACATTGTGAGTTACATTGGAGCAACAACTAGTTGGTGAATATGATCTTCAGTACAATCAATTTAAAGTGCACATATAATGAAGTCTCCATAAGGAAACTTGGAATGACAAAAAATACAGTAGTGGTGTGATGAGTTTTTCTACTGTGAGAAAAGAAAGGCTTGTTCATATAGCTGGCTTTGTTTAAGAACAGATCCTACCCTCTGGATACCAATGTAATTTATTTTTTGATTATTTCAGTCTATTTTTGGCTCTCCCTCTAAAGGGTACTTTTTCTGCGTTGTCACGGCAACAACATGTGAAGTTTCCAAAAGAAGCCAGTAACCATGCTTTGTTCTCCTCAGGGAAAAGCCATCATTTCTATAAAGCCTATCTGGGTCACTCAGCATTAAAGGATTCCCACATTCAAAAATACATGCAATACTGAGGTTTTTTTTGCTGTATTACCGTATATGTTTATCTTCCAAGCAGGTTCAATAAGAATAAAAACCTAAATAATAAGAAGCCTGAAAGACTAATGAGTGATAATAATTTTTAACTCATAGTTACTTAATTAATAAACAAATGTGTGTTTTCAACTATGTTTTATCCTGGAATGGAAAGGTTTTATGATATGTTTTTTAAAGAATATTATGTATTATTGTAAAACTATTGAGACCAAAAACATTTACATACTGTACATATATAACATTACAAACATAACTTATTACATCATACAACAATCATAACAATAAAAGCCCTACAATTGTTGACTTCCTCTACCTCCTACCCTTACGCAAACATTCAAATTCCATCTGAGGCTTGCATTACATCTCCACATATTCTTTAAAATTGTATAGTCCAATGTCTTTCCACTGCCCAACCTTTTCACTTCCTAAAAGTACAATAAATGTGTATACTTGCAAACTTGGTACTACAGTTGATTTCCCATATTGCAACAGGAGTTTCTTTAAAATTATAGCAGAGTAAATAAGAACTCAAACTAATGGGTATCTCAAAGAATGGCCATATACCGTATCTTGTAATAAGCATTGTGATAAGGTTAAAACAATATTACATTTGAGAGTGAGGGATAGCCCACTCTCTAATTGTACCTCCTATTTACAAACTTTCCAGTATTCCCAAACGGAATGAATCAGTAAATCACTTTTTATTTCACATTTAATACATAAATCCAATGTTTTAACATCAAATTTATTCGCTTTAGCTCATTCAAATACTGTGTTGATATTTGTGTTCCAACAAAAAGAATTATGTCATACCCCAATCAAAAACCATGGTTCAACAATAACATCAAAACCAAGCTGAAGGAGCAGTTTGTGGCCTTCAACTCTGGAGACCCTGGGCTGTATAGGAAAGCCAGGTATGACCTGGAGAGGGCCATCAGACATGCGAAAAGCGACCACAGAGACAGGCTTTAATCACAATGTGGGGGCATTAATACAATCTCCGGAATGGCCTGAGGGCTATCACTAATTACAAAGGACAAATGGGTGTTATAACAACAGCTGATGATTCACTGCCTGACCACCTAAACAACTTCTATGCAAGGTTTGATACTCACAATACGGACCCTTCACCTGAAACACCCAGTGAGTCTGGGGAATTTGTGCTGCAGCTGTCTGAACAGGAGGTACGGAGAGCTTTTGGAAAGGTGAAGCCATGTAAGGCTGCCAGTCCTGATGGCATCCCCTCCTGTGTTCTAAAGGCATGCGGAACACAGCTGACCCCTGTCTTCACTGTAATATTTAACATGTCACTATCCCTGTCTATTGTCCCACTGTGCTTCAAGAGGACTACTATCCTGCCACTGCCTAAAGCAACCAAGGTGTCATATCTGAATGAATACCGCCCGGTGGCACTCACCTCAGTAGTCATGAAGTGCATGGAGAAACTGGTGATGGGACACATCAACAGTATTGCCCTGGACTCCCTGGCCCTTCACACCACTCTTGAGCACTTGGACAAGAGGAACACCTATGCCAGGATGTTATTTATTGACTTCAGCTCAGCCTTCAACACAATTGTACCAGGCAGGCTGGTGGTCAAGGTCAGGGGTCTGGGCCTCAGCAACTCTATCTGCAACTGGGCACTGGACTTCCTGACAGGCAGACCCCAAGGGGGGTCAATACAGGGCCCCCCCCAGGACTGCTGCCTGAACCCCCGGCTGTATTCTCTATTTACACATGATTGTGTGGCTAAATTTAACAGCAACCACATCAAGTTTGCTGATGACACCACAGTAATTGGTCTTATCAGCAACAATGATGAAACCGCCTACAGGAGTGAGGTAGCATAGCTGGTGGAGTGGTGCCACAACGACAACCTCACACTTGACATCAGCAAAACAAAAGAGATTATAGTGGACTTCAGGAGGCACGGTGGACATCACACACCCATCATCATTCAGGGGGCTCCAGTCAAAACTATCAGCACCTTCAGGTTCCTTGGCCTTCGGATCTCTGAGAGGCTGAGCTGGTCAGAGAACACTGCTGCCATCCTCACTAAAGCCCACCAATGCCTTCACTTCCTGAAACAATTCCAATTTTCACCGTAATACCATTGAGAGTGTCCTGACCGGTGGTATTATGGTGTGGTATGGTGGACACAGTACAGGACAGAAAAGCCATACAGAGGGTTGTGAGGTCCGCACAGAAAATCACTGGGACTGAGCTACCCTCCATCGACCGGATATATCTCGACCGCTGTCACAACTGGGCTTGAGCTATATTTCGGGACCTGATTCACCCTGGCCATGATCTGTTTTCACCCCTGGGTTCTAATATGAGGTATCGCAGTATCAGAACACTAATAGATTCAAAAACAGTTTCTTCACCCAAGCAGTCTGCATCATAAACAGCTCAAATTAGCACCTGCACAAATTAGCACCTGCACTTTAAGGTACTGCACTGTTTGCACTATGTCCTGTCTTGGCTGTATTATAACCTCTATTGTCTAAATTTATTGTCCATGTCTGTTTGTCATTCGTGCCTATTTGTTTTCTTTTACTGAGTACGGCTGAATGAGTAAGCATTCCAATACACTTGTTGTACTGTATTTGGCAAATAAAAAATCTTGAATCTTGAATGTTATTATTTCATATTGCATTGACTGTAAATCTATTAAATCATTAATAGTAATATCTACAGTAGTCATATCCAAACACTTAATAGCATGATTCTGCTATTATTAAACCTATCCAAATCTTCATTCCATTAAATCCATCTTTTCCAGATGAGAACTTTTTGAATACAATTTTTGCAATCTGCCTGTAATTCTAGATGCAGTCTGAGAGTCAAAATGTATGTTATTTATTTGGCTAAACTTAAATTATTCAAAATTATTCAAAGTTATGATATATAACAATCCCGATTTGAAGTGATTTAAAAGTATCTGTATTAGTTAAATTTAGTTTATTTTTCAATTCTGGAAAGAAGGTGATGTTCTTCAATAAGATCCTGTATGAATTGTATATCACCAAATTCCCATTTTGGCCATGAAGTTTTTTCTGTCTGTATGGTCATCTATGGATTATTCTATAACACAGTGTTACCCAGAACTGAATGGGTTCTTTTCATTTTAAACTATGATTTAATCATATTTTTAATACAATCTTACAAGGAAAGAAAATGTGGTGAACGCTTTTAAAACTCCAAAAATTCTAAACCAAGCAACTCTTGACCAGCAGCATCTAGTTACTCAATCTGGTTTATCTTAAGCATTGTAAAACATGAGGGCATGTCTCGAACTCTACACGCAGCTCAGAGCAAAATAACAACACAACCTACCAGTCCACAGGTCTGCCAGCTTCATTCCTGCAGGAAATCTCTCCATAAGAAAAATGGAAACTCCAAAGGACTGCAGGAAGTAGAAACAGCCACATTATCCCAGAGTCTATTCCAAAACTGACTGGGGCTGATCAGTAGGATCGAATATACCCCAAACTGCTTTTTATTAAAATAGGGAAGTACTGCTTTTGATACAGTATCTGCTTCCTTTTTCTAGAAAAAAGCTGACATGTGCTTTAAGTAGGTAAGAGCCTGTTAGCAGTTGTCATAAAATACTTTCAGATATGTAACAGAGGAGAAGATAGGAGTTTCAAGATTGTCTTTGTTCTTTTTATTGTGTAGCACAGTAACTTTGACATTAACAGGCCACTGAAAAACTTGAATATTATCTTAAGTCTTAATGCTTGCTACAGAAATAAAACAAAAACACTGAGAAATGTTACTTTAAGCCAAGATAAAGACCTCTCTGGGGGAAAAAAATTACAGAAATCAAATGCATATTCTCAATTCTTTAAGAATTCAGTCATGTAAGGCTGTCTAAAAAGTTGTGTTTCTCTCATGATTCCACTCAAACAGTGTTAACACACATTAATGAACAAATCAGGAGTATACATGATTTGTTTCCACTATGCAACACCTGCAAACATTGAATCATTTAGAAAGATTGCTTTAAGAAACCCTTCTGTCCTATTCCTAAAAAACAAAAACAAACCCAAACACTTAAATCCCACTGTGTAAAAGGGAGCATTAAAGAAGCATTAAACGTTTCCCTGTCTTTGTCATGGTGAGCCCTGTGTCTATGGGTTTTTATTCCTGCTGTACTCCCAGTTTCTTAATAGAAAACTTAATTGAACTAATCTAGCATAAAATAGAAATGTATCATTGTGTCTGGACACTAAAATATTGCAGAATTACTTTAAAAATGTGATCATTAACTTGACATTTCTAAAAGTTTAAGGACTAGGAATACTTAAGTAGTTCAAATTAATCAAAATATAAATTAGATTAAATGATGAATTAAGGACCTGAGAGCTAAGCCGCAATGATGCAACAATGAAACCCAGCGAAAATGGGGATTCCAGGACCAAGACTGGGCAGCCCTACACACAAGGCGGAATTATATCATTGGTCAGTTTTAAATATACCATATCATATAATCTCATATCATTACATATCCTATAATTTCTTTGTATCCATTACTGCTACTGCTGGTTAAAGACTAACCAATGAAAAAGATTAATCTTATCTTACCAAATAAGTAAGTTACAGGTTTCTATGTATGCCCTGGTTCAAATTAAAGCTGACCATGGAAAAAAACAGAACACCAGTTTGTTCTGCATGGCGCAATGAGGGGTGGAGCTGCTCTTGGACCCTGGACTGGGTTCAGCTCCTGACTGGGACTCTCTCCGTGCTCATTGGAGTTTTCTCTGCCTGCTGTGGTTTCTTCCACCGTTCTAAAACATGCTAGCTACATGAATCAAAGTCTGTTGATTGTCCCTGTACGTATGTATGTCTTGGCCATGGACTGTCATCCTGTCCAGGGCTTTTGTTGGGCTGTTGAGCATTAGTTTCCAGGCCTTCTTATAATGGATGTTAGGATGAATGGAAGTATCAGATTTTATCACAGACCTGGGTATTCTGACAAATAAGCCACCAAGTACCTTTTCCACAAAGCAGCCCTAGCATGTATTCCAAATGTAATCCTTTGACGTCATAATATATTACACTTTACTTCAAAGATCACCGAGGACTAAGGCTGTCACCCGTATAACAATACATTGAAAAGTAAAAGCCAGTAACGGCTGAAGTTAAACTAAAGAACATATAGAATGGTGTGAAATGGCAGTTATGTAAGGAAACCTGTTTCTCTAGCATACATATGTAAAGTGCACCCAGAAGCACAAAAAATTTAAATCTGGACCTCCCATCCAGCTTAAAACCAAGGCCATGTCGCTGTTTCAGTCAAGACAGGACACGAGAGAGTCATTCTGAACCGGAGCAGATCTAGGACACACAATGGCACACAACCTCTCAACTACTGAATACAATAAGGTAGTATTAATGAAATTATTTTCATTTTTTATCCTTATTACTGAATGTAGATGTGTGTTTCCATGTGTTCACATTGTTTGTTACAAAAGCAGTATAGGCAAAACAATCTTAAAAAGTAAACATAAAAGTAAAATGTAATGTCACTATGTAGGGTCTACATAATTAATAATGAAGACTACAGTTTACATTTTCTAAGCTATCATTATTCTTATCATTATTATCTCAGTTATCTCCACTGTGTGGCTACAAATTTATTTTATAGAGAAAAAAAATTATTTTGTGAAAGAAATAAAATACTTACATACTTTATCATGACCAGCTTAAAAAAAGTAGTGAGACACAAACAATTCATATCCTGCTCAGAAATCATTCACAATTATTTTCGTATTTTAAAATTTTCAAACTGCTGTGACTTGTTGTTGCGTATCAAAGGGATAGTTTCAAAAACTAAAGGAATTAACTTTTAAGTCCAAACTTTTTGAAGAAAGATTTATACAGGACCAGCAGTGAGATATTTAAAAATCAAATGCTTTTTTAATCAATCAATACCTAATCTTTTCATAGAAGTGCAATCACAAAGTATTTTAAACAACTCACAATACAGAACATCTGGTTAACAGTGCACAGTAAATTTATTAATTATGTACCTTTTTAAAAGTACCTTTTACCTTTCACACCATGATACAGGTATCATATGTATTCCAAGAACACTCACTTCTAACTGGAAAAAGTATTCTAAGGGAAAACAATGTTATTAACTTACATATTCCCTTTTTTATCCCAGATGGAATATTTGTTTTGCAGGCAGGTAAAAGAACAACAGAATAAAACAACACACAATACAAGTAATAGGTTTATTCCATGCTGAAAAAAAAAGAAGAAAGAAAACCCATCTGAACTGAAAAAAACCCCACCTGAACTAATACACAATACATTTAACATGACATGGACCAATTACCAAACAAGAAACATACAGTATATGCATAAGATGACAAAAACAATTTAACAGCTTAAGTAATCTTCACAATCTCCAAATAAAATTAAATTTAAATATTGGGTCAGTGAGTGAAACCGCCACATACGTAACCTTATGAAAAAAAAAGTAGTTTAAATAATTCAAAACTTCCACTCTGTTAGCTCTCAGTGTAAATTACAGGGCCTGATGATAAAATGTGAAAATAAACCGTCACACAAAATGTAGCTGCCCCAAAGCAGGCACTTTGAGGTTAACCATGAAGGTTCCTGTTTTAAATTAACTGTACAAGACCTTGCCAACATTATAAAATCACATTTTATTAAATAAATGCAGTTAAAATGAATTTGAAAATTAAATTCAAAGAGCTTGGCTTCCGAAGAACAAACAAGCTCTCAGGGCTACAATATAAAGCACCAGCTGTAAAATTGGAATAAACGTGTCTTTTCACCTTTCCCCTTCTCTCAACGACAGACTTGTATTCTTCTAATTCTCTGTATTCTTTTGTAGGTTTCGTTTCACACCTCTCCTCACCTCTCTCGACCTCGCACCACTTGATTGGCCACTCTGCCTCTCCCCTGCTCCTCTCTCCTGGCTTTTGTTTTCCCATGCTATATCATCTTTGCTGCCTGCCCCACCTTTCTTACACCCGAAGAAGGCTCCCCAGCTGAATCGCTGTGTTTTCTTCCTCCTCTTTTCAGAAAGGAATAAACCTTTACTTGTTCCTTTGCAGCCTACGCATGCTGACGCAGCAACCCACCTGAACATTTTTTTTATGTTTGTTAATTTTTATAGAACCAGAATGAAAGCAAGAACATTTAGTTAACCTAATCAGTTATTTAAAAAATGAAATTACCTCAGAACACATTTAATATGATCCTTAAACTGAGCTGATTTTGAGCCTTACTCTCCCTTTCAGTGTAAGCTGAACTTTGGAGTAATGATCAGGTCAGGTTGAAGTAGTTTGTCAGACTAACAACGCTTAGACAACACCTAATGCTGTAAAGTCACCTCAAGACATAAGTAAGGCTACATGAGAGGAAGCCATTCAGCCCTCGTTTTGTTGCTAGCAGCTAATGAATTCCAAAACCTCATCCAGACATTTTTGGAAGGAACCTGGCGTGTCAGTTTTAATAACTTGGCTCAGCAAGTTCACAAACGTAGTTTGTTTTTATTCACAAAAGAAGGAAGTCAGCTTCTGTTTTCAAAAACACATCCATAAATCCTGCTTAAGATGCTGCTAGTATGACATTTGAGAAAGCTGTCCAAATATGCTTTCAGCGGATAGCACCTGCGTTCCTTTCAGTAGCTTGCTTCCTTTTAAGACCAGTATGCCTAATAAAGCTCATAGCTTCGTTTCAAGTAGTCCCAGAAATAGCGCGTTTTTTTCATAGCTCTCAATATTGCATTCTTAATATGCTCTAAAGCTGATGAGTCATACTGCTCTCATTGCTTTATGGTATGGATTTTACAACTTTCATTCATTTAGCAGGCAAAAATACCTCACAGAGACATCGAACAAATTGCAAGCTTGGTTCATAAAAATGAACGTGTATCGAACAAACAACAAGGGTGCAGGGGTGAAGGGGGTTCAGTGCTTTTCGCAGCAGAGTAAATTTGTTCCCCGTTTCTCAGATTAGATTATGAAAGTGTGCAAATCAAATCAGCATGAAAAAGAGATGTTTTTCTGCATTGGGACAAATTTATCAAGAGAGCAAAAAAAGTTGTGGAAACTGTTCTGATATTTCAGTGGGATACAGAATTCTCAAATAGAGGTCCTTACAACTGCAAAGTTACAAAACCCCATTATCAAGACCTCCTGGTCCCGGGAGCCACTAGTACCAATTTTGCTGCTCATGAAATAAATAATAATAGTCACACGGTGTAGAATGAGACTGTTACTGTGATGTCAACACCTCAGGTCTCTCAAGTGTATAAACGACTCTCTGCTGCAAGGTCTAGTCTGATCACATTCACTATGATCCTGAGGAGACTGGATCGCTGTCTGAAGCTAGAAACCTGTTGCAGGATGTGGAGTTTGTGCACACTGGCTATGGGAAGAATACAGTGAAGGTGATGCATGTCAGACGAGAAGGGAGGCAACACTACATTAAAGAGATCAAGGCAGATGTGGAGCTGACTTTAAGGACACGCAAGGACTACCTGGCTGGGGACAACTCGGACATCATTCCCACTGACACCATGAAGAACACTGTCCACGCACTGGCAAAACTGAAAGGGGTAAGTTTCAAAGAATGGCCTTCACCAATAAGGGAAAGTGGGACCACGTTTCTTGTTATATTTCCGGTGGACACACAATGGCGGAAAAAGACTGTGGACTGAAAGAGCCAATAGATAAGTGGCATGGTGGCGCAGTGGTTAGTGCTAGTGGGATCAATTCCATGCTATCTGCATGGAGTTTGTATGTTCTCCCTGTGTTCATGTGGGTTTCCTCCCACAGTCTAGAGACAAACTGTTTGGTTAATTGACTTCTGGGAAAACTGTCCCTGTTGTATCCCATCCAGCGTGTATCCTACCTTGTGCCCGTTGCATGCTGGGATGGGCTCCGGCTCCCCTGCGACCCAGTATTGCCTCAAGTGGTTAGAAAACAGATGGATGTTTACATTACACACCTGTAAGAGCTACACTAGAAGCCTGAGGCACAGCGCACAGCTTGGTGGTGTGCATCAGGGTAACCCTCGTTCACCATGCGCAGGGACAAGGGCTGCGTCAGTGAGCCAAGTCAATCATCATTTGGTGATTTCAAATAAAAAAATAAAGCATTGTTAGGTGAGAGGTTCCAGCAAGGACAAAGGATAAGGCAAGAAAAAGAGGTATTGTCACAAATTAAGTCAGGGCCTTAGTTTATTCAGTCAAAAATAATAACCTCAAAAGCACATTCACCTAGAAATAAAAGGAATTTGGCATTTCCTAAATCTTCCTAAGAATGCAATGATTTCAAAGAATGATAAAATCATCATTGGCAATAGTAAATTATTATACTCAGCCTGCTCCTATGCTCTCTACCCACAATGAAGGGATACAGTATATGGAAGTTACATTCCCAACATTTTAAAAAGCAAAGCACTGAACACACCCCAGCAAAACAGAATGTTATGAGGGATAATGAAACAAGAAAACCAAAAACTAGTAAGGAGATGTGTGATTAAAGATGATCAGTGCATCAGAAAACACCCAAAACCTCTGATGTTCCTTGTTCCATATTAAATAGGTCCCTTTCCTTAAAGGCTCAGTGCATTTCTGTGTTCTATTTTGGCAGATCCGGACCATTGAAATATTTGCCATGGATATATGTGACCACTTCTTAACAAACTTCAAGCATGTTACACGAGCCAAGGTTTACATTGAGGAGGCTCCATGGAAACGCCTGGAGAGGGTAAGGATGTGAGTGATGTCTGCTAGCCGGAGCCCTGAATGTTGTTTTCACTTGTGTTAAAATGTTTTCTCTAATAGGACTTTAAATCAGTGCACAGGAAATAAAGAGGAGAAAGGATTCTCTTTGGTCAAAAAAGAGATCATACCTCTGCTAAATCAGGTCTCCCTTGGGCAGTCACTGACAGAAAATTATACTGTCTCGCCTTCTTCCAACAATATGATAAACAAGAGCTGGTTGCTAGGTTCTTTCATCACAAACTCATTTTTTTTGTTCATCACACGTCTCCTGTTTTTACATAATGCAGCCTGCAGCATTCTGCATGGCAGTAATTTTTATTTTTCATTCGATGTACTGTTCTTCCTCACAAGGCACCTAATAAAGATATTTACATGCTGGTTTAAGAGTCTGCTTTGATGTAACAGCATAAAAGAGATGTAACCAAAGCACTGTTTACTCCACAGAATGGCACTGAGCATGTCCATGCCTTCATTTACAACCAGGAATCCATTCACTTCTGTGAAGTTGAACAGAAACAAAATGGTGAGCTGCTGTTAGCAATTTACTGTTTCTGCAAATATCTTTGTTCCTAAAAACTACAAAATTACCACAACACGTTTATTACATTTGTGACTGATGAATGAAATAGATTTTTCTAGACATTTTGAGAAATTGTGTACTGTAACTTGCATGTTACTCATCAGTACTTGTTATGAAACATGCAGGCATACTTACCTTTTTTACAACTTTTACAGTTTTTAACAAAAATGCATTGCAGTAATTATTTTATATGTATATTTAAATGTATAATTTAAATCATAAAACATTTTTTGTTTTATGACAAGAAGGTTCAATATAATTTAAATATCACTTTCATTATAAAGAATGACATAAACTGGTTTAAATTATTTCAAGGCAAGGTACCTGTAGTGTTACTAGAAGTTCTGGTGGGTAGCTGCGTCAGCATGCGTAGGCTGCAAAGGAACAAGTAAAGGTTTATTCCATGCTGAAAAGAGAAGAAAGGAAACACAGCGTTTCGGCCGTGGAGCCTTCTTCAGGAGCTACCTGCTCACACCCAAAGAAGGCTTTGCGGCCAAAACGTTGTGTTTTTTCTTTTCTTTTCAGCATGGAATAAACCTGTTACTTGTTCCTTTGTAGTGCTACGAGTTATTCTTTTTTATTATACTTCTTAATTAGGTAACTAAACCGTTTACTTATTTGGATTAATCAATGTCTCTTCCCAGACAGATAATAGCAGAAAATGATTTAGACAGGCCTGTAAAGCTACCCTTTGGGTCCTGAGGCCTAGTGTGCCTTACACTTCAGTAATCCTGTGCTGCTCTTTGTTCTTCAGAGAGCCCAGTGGTCCATGCAGGTCTGAAAGACATGAAAATCCTGAAGACCACCAAGTCGGGCTTTACAGGTTTTTTGAAGGACAGGTTCACAACACTGCCTGAAACCCAGGACAGGTTCTTCTGCACAGCTGTCTATGCAAAGTGGCGCTACAACAAGTTCAGGAACTTCTCCTTCGACACAGCATGGTGATTTGCATTGACAAAAATGTCCTATACATATGGTGACGTTGCATCCATGAAATTCAACCGGCAATTTTGAGAACAACATTTAGAGCTTCAGAGATAATGTAGATCAACATTATGATTTACGCTATACCATAAACAAAAAACACAAGACAAATACAACACCTTCACAAAGGCTACACAAATATAAAGAGATACTCTATGTCATTTATTAAAAAGGGGCCAGGGCTGGAATCTTCTGAGAAGTAGATTTTATGGCACAACTGGTTCAATTTAGTATCAATTTGTTATGTGAGTGCATGTCCCCTCGGTGTTCGTGTTAATGTGGTAAACAAAGAAGTATTTTATGTACTGGCATGTATTTAAAGCAAATCAGGTGTAAGTTTAAAAAAAGAACTTATATTCAGTGAATAAATGTAATCATTTAGTTTGTTTGTTTTTCAGGAAAACTGTGAAAGAAACCATTATTGAAAGGTTTGCAGGCCCCTATGACAAGGGTGAATTCTCACCTTCAGTTCAGAAGACTCTCTATGAAGCCCAGGTTCTCATCCTGCAGAGAGTACCAGAGGTCAGTTGCATACTGAAAGATCACATTGAAACAATACATCTATGTTCTGGTCAGACCATTCATAAGAAAGGAAAGGTTATAAACAAGAGGATCACTTGAAGGCACCCCTGGTGCAAGCTGATGCTAGTTTTGAACATTTTTTCAGTCATTTTTATCTACAAGATTCATGGGAATCACACACTGACCTTGAAAGGGTCTTCCAGGTGGAATTGTCCACTGTGGACAGTGAATCATGGATAATGATATATCAATAGCTCACCCTACCCTCCCATTACAAATTTCAAACATGTTGATGAAGGAAAATGTTCTGTCAGACACTTCTTCATGTGTGTCCAATTAAAAGAAATGAAACCTAACAATTGGCAGGTGGGCCAAGTCTTTTATCTAATCTTGGATGAGAACAAATTGGCAAGACATTAAAATATGCCAAGCATATGTACGTCCATGCACAAAATATAAATTAAATTGAAAATTTAAACAATAAATGTCAACCCACTTCAAATGTATGAGATTGTACTTTTTCATATATGTAAAAGCCTCTAATCCTCTTATCCTGTAATATGTGAATTTAACTGCATAACATATAACACATATACATATATGTGACAGCATGGCAGACTTTGATGCCAGATGAAGTTTTAATTTGTAACAGTGTGTTCACTACCTCTAGAAACTGAATTGGTTGAAAACTGTAAATGATTTTGATGACATGAGGTGAACTGTTAAAATATAGCAAGTTCCTTGTAACCCTGTTACTAATTTTAGATATCTTTGAACAAACAATCATTTTGCTTTTCCAGGTTGAGGAGATTGAGATTGTTATGCCAAACCAACATTATTTCACCATAGACATGACAAAAATGGGACTTGAAAACAAAGATGAAGTGAGTATTGTTTTTCATTAACAAAGTGAAGGAAAAAACGACCCACCATACTCAAGGAGCATTGTTAACTGAATTTGTAGTCTCCAGCAATCTTGTGTTGCCCACATATTAGCAGAAGGGACTTTGTGAATGAAATCAGTGGTATTACCTAGAACACAAACTGCACTGGTGGCCATACTAAGACAAGTCATTTTCATTTGCTATTCATTAAAGCATTGTAATAAGTAAACTTCTTTAATTGATAAGGAAACTTGCTATACGTTTTGTTGAGTTCCTGACTATTATGAAGTATCAGACTTACATGAATTAACATAACCAATCTTGAATTCCAATGAAAACAAAATGACCTAAAAAGATGTGATGTTCCAGTATTGTGCCTCGGGCATTCATTGTTCATTATACCACTCTGGTCTTTATTTTTAGCAAAACAGTATGATGAGCAATCTTTTAACTGGCACAGGGGGTGATACAGAGCAACAGTGACTAATCATATCACTGGCAGGAATGGTGAAGCAAACAGACATCTCTGTTAATCAAAACACTCCCAAGCCCTTGACTACCACAATACAACCTTTCTATTAATGATACGAACTCTTTAGCTATGTCTTAATACCAAAATAAAAAATTGTGTTAAGTTCTTAAAGCAAAGCAGACATGGAGAATGGACTGAAACGTCATTTTAACAAATTCAGCCTTGATATAAAAAATCTTACCAGTTTTTGAAACTTGCTAAGAAAAACAATTCAACTGACTAGTTTAATTAGCTATGAGCCAATGTCTGACTAGGTCTAATGTAATTCACTTCAATTTCAGAGACAATAAGGTATTGCCCAGGTCCCCTGTGGATGCAAAACTAATTATGACAGTCTCTGACTGAATTTATACGTTCTGTCCACAAGGTGGAGCTGATGTACAGGCATTTTAATACAAGGGAGTGCAAAGAGCAAAAACATGACTTGTGATATTAATTCAGGGGCCCTTTCAAAACAAACGGCAAGTTCACCAAGGAATAAAGCAGAGTTTAGTCAGAGAAACGCTTGAAGGACTGTACCCTTGAGCACAGATTCATCTGTAAATGGGTATTGCAAAAGTCATTAACAAGATTTTATTCTAAATTAACTCACCTAGGTAAATAAGTGGTTATTATTATCATGAAAGAAGGTCATTTGACCCCTATAGCTTGTTGGTTGTGAACAGCTAATCGATCTGATGAAAGAAACCAGGGAATCAGTTTTAACATGCCTGGGTATCATGTTCCGGACTCTCCCAACCCTTTGTGTAATATACAGTAAGGGCCCTCATTACTCAGTTGTAAATGCACTTTGCCATAGTTAACACTTGTTTCCTCTTCTGCATGTTTCACTTTTGATTCTGACATATTTGTATATAATACTTCTGAGAATTTCAAATCAGGCCTGGACGTAAATCTTCCATGTAACAGGAATAAAGCCAGTTGGTTTGTATTTATTTGTTTCAGTTTTGTTACCGTTTTAAAGGAAAACAGCAATTGTCCAGACAATGAGTAGTACCTCTATCTTCTTCAAGAGCTCTGCCTGAAAGGTTTTAAGTCATTTAAGACATTAGTATTTCTTTTACCTTTAACACTTTTGCTTCTTCCATGCTGATGCTATTTAATTTAGAACATTGTCTTTTCTGAGGTACAGAGGTGTCGGTTTTTTCCTTAGTAAACAACTGACTGAAATATTCATTAAATACATTAGCCATTTCCTTGTCAATTCACATTTCCCATTATCTCAGACACCTTACTTGATGTTTGACTGTATTGTAAAAATTAAGATTGTTTACTTAAGCCTGCATTTCAATATGACCTTTTCTCTCTCTTGACCTAATAATCTTTATCAATTAAGGTAAAAAAAAAAAGTTATGTTATAACTGAACAAGATTTGCACAATAAGAAAACTAAAAGAGGGATGCAGAAACAGCCATATAATCCATTGCAACAGTGCAATCACCCCGTTTCATTTGTGATTCAATTTATGATGGAGAGCATCAGTCTTAAGTAGACTTTGTTTATTGAAAAATCTAAAACAACACACAACCAAACCAAATAAAAAGAAGTCTAATAAAATGACATTCCACACATTTTCATAACTGCTCCTTTGTTTCCAGAATGAAAAGGAGTGATTTTCTAAAGCTTATCTGCACAGTTCTTCTAAGTGATACATTTCCATATGGGGCTCTCTGAACAGAGGAAAAGTTGACCGGTATTTGAGGTTTTGGCACTTGTTAAAGTACCACTAAGTTTACAGCTCAAGCCCTGGCTCCTCTGCTGACTCACTGTGCAAAACACTAAATCACTAAACCACCTTGTTCTTAGGTGGTCAGTTACTTAGTTTGGGTTCATAATTCCAATTTCCCAGTGGTGGACAGCTAACGTGGTTGCTGGAGCTTTACAAACAAGAAGGTGCTTTGTTTTAACCACACAAACAGCATGAGCTGTCAACATTAACTGTGTTTACTGTCTCTTCAGGTACTGCTGCCACTTGACAACCCATCAGGGAATATTACAGGCACGGTACGGAGAAAACAGTGGTCTCGACTTTGAAGAGCAGAAGAGGAGACTTTATACAGCGGGGGGAAAAGGTGGCACCTACAAACCTTTTTGCACACTTACCACGACGGCATCTTAACCAGAAAAGGCTTGTTTGGTTTAATTCATCCCACGTGAAAAACATAACAATAGCAACAGGCTTGTTTACGGCTTGGAATAAAATGTTTATTGGAGGTTAACGCACTGTGTGCTTTACCAGTTACAGCTGATTAACTGTGCTGCCAATAAAGCTGAATTAATTACGTTTTGTGGACACGGTTCACTGTGCTAATTTATTACAAGATTATCATAGCAGCCACACAGAGCCTTCACCTACCCCAAACCAAAATTTGGGGGCCATCAGGTGAAAAGGGTTGTCTTTGGTTCCCTGGACCAGTATATTTTTAAAAAGTCTACAAATCTAGGCTCAAATTTTTTTTTCAGAAAAATGTGCAGAATTTATCGTGCCACCAATGACAAAGGACACCGCTTTTTACATAGTTTTTAAGCCATGTAACAAATGTAAAGTCAACCACACAATACAAACAAGAACAACTTTTCACTGTTACAATATACAAACTTAAGAAACACAATGGTATTTGGATTTATTTACAAAGAAAAAAAATCTTTTTCGGTTTTGAAAATAAGTTTAGAATAGTTTAACAACCTAGTTTTTATTCCTTGTACAGGTTAAATTTAAAAAAAAATGAAACATGAATAACAAGTCTTGATTACCAGACCAATACAAATAAATAAGTCAAGAAATTGCTGAAAAGAACGTCTCAGTTTAAGTGCTGAAGAGAAGCAGCCAAGTGCCTTTGTACTGGCTCTTTGCCACAGAGAGTTCATACATTTTAGTATTAAGCTTTTAAAATTATGCTAGTATCACCCTATTTTTCACACAATATAAAGATCTTACTTTTAGAAGTCAAATTCAGTGCAAAACAGAACATACTGAATATTTCATTAATAGTACAAACGGTTAGATTAGCTGGCTTCAGCTCACTGCAGTGTTGGTAACTTTTTACTTGACTAGAATTTCTGTGGAACCACCTGAACAATGTCAAGCTGCATATGCAGTACTAGATTTTTCATTTTATACCCACCGTAGTTGGCATTACCAATTGTTCATCAACATGGCTTCCAGCTACATCACACAAGGGGAATGAGGACCTGTGAACATCATCTCCAATGCAACCACCTGTCCAAACCTTTCTGCTGTTCGACACACTGCAACCACCACCGGCTCCTTGTAGGAGATGTGTCTTATCTGGAAGTGGGACGTGTCTCTCACTGATGTCAGTGGGAACTCACAGGTGGCCACCCCAGGTGCTAGTTTTTGTTGTGCAGAAACTCTGGCTGTCTCCAGACCCCACCCAATACCAACAGTGTGCTGCCACCTAGGCAATCCCTGTAAAGCTGACTAAAAGACACAGCCAAAACGCAATCCAGCAAAGGCTGGGCTTCAGGGCTCAACCGCGGCTACAAGTCAGTGCCTTCACTAGATGAGTCAGTTGGTAGCGTGATCACATTGCTTAGCTATAACTTCTGTGGGGAACATTGGGGCCATATCAAAATCCCACATACAAAGCACATCATCTCAAAGGTTTAGCTCAGAGGATTCAGGCCTGTATGCACTACAAAAAAGGTTATCCTTTTACAGGGAAAAAATGCTGATTTGTACAAATAGAAAAAATATAATACAGTATTTTCTGAAGTAGTCATGTGGAGAAATCCACAGAAATTTTAGATGAAATCATTGCACACACAGGTTATGCCATAGATACAAACTCCCTGTGAAGAGTTTAAAATAGCAGCACAATACAGTATAGGAGTAGGTTCTTGAGTCAAAGCATCCACTGTTTGCACAACAATTGATAAGATACAAATTTGAGTATTTTACAAGTTTTAGTCACCAGAAAAGTGCAAAAAAAAATCAATTTACTTCTAATTCTGTTTAAAACTAGCCCAGGACAATATGGTTCTTAAAGAAAGGTTTGCAGATTCACAATGTAATTAAACAATCAAGGTTCGTAATACAACTGAAACAATCTTTCTCTCTCAGATAGAATGCATCAGCTCATTTAATTTTACTGACCAGATGTAAAATTAAACAACTTTCCTTTGAAACTTTCTAAGAAACCATGTTCAGGAACAGTGAATAGAAAGATCATATCTGTACACGTCCTGTAAGCTTCCAGTGCCTTCAGAAAATGGCAGTGAAAAAGATCGCTGTACCTGCTGCCTGGACCATGAAAGGTTCTGTAAATGCTTTTTAAGCAACTGTTTTAGTTTGTTTTCTTTATAGTGACAGTGGTCTGAAGGTTTAATGTCTGGACAGTTAGGTTGCAAAATACATTATGTTGTGCACTGCCAAGCACATGGTAAGGGGTGCATCTGTAGGGCCAAAGTACTGCATTAGGAGGCAGTCCACATTGTATGTAGTTCCCAATATGATTTTTAATACAGTTTATTTTTATTAGGCTGTTGTGCATGACATCAGTGGTCTATCCTATGGACAGTATGGAGATTAACATATGGACTATAGAGAACTACCATGAAAACAAAACAAAAAACTTGTCACTTGGGGCAACATGTTGCTATGACATCTGAAGATATTTAAATCCAACTTCTACACAAGATGTGGGATCAGATATTTTCATCCTTCCAATGCTAATCTAATGTTGTCCATGATTAGTTCCATTGATGTTGAAAATGACTTAATTCAGGTTTTGACTGGCTAATGCAAAGCCAGCAGACAGTGGAAGTGGGGAAAAGGTAGCCCCACTTTCAATACAGAGGGTACACCTCTGTGGCTGAAGGTTGCTAGTGCAATGCTGCACTAGTTCGTCAAGCAACGCAGAAAAGCAATGTGGACAGTTCTCGTGGGAAAGTACAAGCCAGTGCCGTGCAAAACCGCACTACAGCGTCGGTCCAGACCTTAACACTGCAAAAGTCTGAGCGCTGGGATAAGCAAAGCAGTACAAGCTAGAGGGCACCTTGGCTGCTAATTCAGTTTCTGTACTGAACAAAGAAAATAAGCAACTGACTCACACATCTATCGAAACACTTAAAAAAAATCCCTCTATCTGTGCTTGAAGAACACAGTTTCAAGATTCTTTAGTCTTTGAAGCCACGCTTAGGCCTAATAATAGAGCAATGCCTGATGTTTGTCAGAATAAGCACCATTTAAATACCTGCAGATTTCAACCAGGGAGAGCTCAGCCTTGTTTTTTTCCTGTGTTCAAAGACAAAGTCCCTACAGCCTGAGGTACATTATAGTCATTCATGTGAGGAGCAATCCTGTAGCTCAGGCAAAATACAGAATACCCCTTTAGGCCATTAAAGCACCACTAGTAATAAAAAGTAGCAGAAACGTTTACAATTTTAGCTAAAAGCCAGAATTAATGCTTTTTAACTCTGAAAGTTTTATAAGCACTACTTTCTTCTCAATGGTTAAAAACCATAGCATTTGTAAAAATAAAACTCCAGATATGACAAATTCTTCCAACAAATATTAGGTATAATGCTGCCCATGTTATATACAGTTATAACTTGCAAAGGAAGTAGGTGCACAAGTATGTTTTTGTTTGCTTTGTATTTTTAATTTGATAAATTTTGATTTTTTTATATTTTTTTCTTTTCTAAAATATAAAAAGTCCTCAGATGTCAAGTAAAAAGGTTTTGTATTCAGCATTCTCCTTTATACACTTGACTATACAGTGGCTTGCACTCCATTTCATCTCCTGAAACAGTATTAGATGGTATGTACAATGGTAGTGTGACAAACATAGTCCCAAAATTAACGATCGTAATTTAATGTATTTTCTCAAGCAGGACAGTCTTTCAAACTGGAGAGTTAGTCCAACACTATTCAGAACATTCCTTGACTAAGAACATTCAGTTTTATGTAGTCCATTGCTTCAGGCTGTTGAACAACTGCTTGAAATTGAGTTTTTATTAATATGTTTGCCTTTGAATATAAATGATTTGACAGATCAGAACTGATTATTTTTCTATGAATGTGACCCCCCCCCACACACACACACACAAATGAAATTAATACACTGTTGTATTTCAATGAAATCACATGGTATTTTAGAAATCACATTTGTATGTAACAATGTAACCGATTCACATTAATACCTTTTAAAGAAAACAGACCCCTCCCCACCACCACCAACCGGAAATCTTTCCAGAAGAAGTTAAGAGGCAAGCTAAATACAGGATTTTGATCCACTTTGGTCAAAACAAAAACAAATTTTGCAAGGACTGTCCCCTTTCACGGTAGTCCCAAAATTCAGAGCCAGCTGGTGTAGAGAAAGAACAGCGGCAAGGCAGATTCTCCAGCAGAAGCTTTCCTCTACAGTCCTTTGAATAAAATCTGGAAACCGCAGCAGGTCAAAGCCATTGACCTGCAAAATCACAGGCCCGCAAGTCTTGTGAATGGCTAGAAAGCACACAAAATGCTTTTCTTTGAACTTCAAGTAAAATTGCATAAGACACACATCCACTAACAGATGAGCCTTGCTTCTTTCTTCCTCATTTGAGATTTGGGATTACCTTGTCAACTCCTTCAATGATTGTCTTCCTCACTGGAGACCTGTGTTGCGACAGACAGCGCCGTGCCCCAGGCCCTGTGTTGCCATGCTACGACGTGCTGTTCTTCATGTGCTGCGTTTGAAGAGGCTTTACATGATACTCATAAATTTTAAGCGCGGGCCCCAGCTTTATCGAAAGCCCGGTCAAGACATCGTTCCGAGTCATTAGCAGCAGGGATTTGCCATCAATTTCCTGGAAGAAAAAACAAAAACAAAACCGATCTCTCTCTAAAAAACGATGTTGATGAAAAGGTTGAAGCAGCAGTGCGGGAAAAGCTCAGAGTGCATCGAACATCATTTGATAATGATGGCGTCCATGACATTGTGGTGACAGAAGAGAATGGGTGTACAAGGTAACTACAGTTTGTTGAAAAAAATCAGACTTTCCCCTTCATCGGTGAAGATCTTTGGATAGTTCCGTATATACTTCACCTGTTGGCTTTTGGCTCATAATAACTCCAACCCAGGAAATTTATTTGTTCATTTAAATAGGACTAATCAACAGAGGCTAGCGTGTCAGTTAATTGGTCAGGATCAAAAGGTTCCTAAGCTAAATTCTGAAATAACCAACAAGGCCTGGGTTTTCAATTTCCTTTATGTAAATTAAAAGTAAAAGGGCAAAAGTACAATAAATGGGTGAAAATCATCAGCGGTTCTTTGGATTAACAAGTCATGGTGATCTGGAAAAAAGTGCACAACTGCACAAAGAGGCATCTAGTTCGGCCTGTGGTCTCAGCCCTTTTCAAGTCTCTCCCTCTGCCACATTGAAATGTGATCACATTTTTTATTTTTGATTTTATGGGTGGATAGCCTACAACACCGAAAAGCAGAGATTTATTTCACCTTCTTAATCATAACCCACATTTCCCTATGACACATTCTAATTATTTTTATTATTGCCATTTGTACTTGCAGCGAAAGCAATTTGCATTAAGGTACACTACTGGACAATAACACTGGTAATGGTAACAGATTTCATTAAGTCAACAAAGAATTAGTGGTAAGCCAAGCATGGTTTGGTGGGCAGAAAATAAAATAAAAAGACTATCGAGCAGAATGCAGATATGAATGATTGAGTACTCTGCTGCTGAAAATGTAACACTCAAGTGCGAACTCAAAGTCTCCGTTTCCCCATCTCCTATACACATTTACAGTAAGAGTGAACAGAATATAAAGAAGGGAACAAGATCTACAACATAAAAATTGTCCATATGCATCTCAAAAACTCTAATTTGAATGAATGATATAATGAATGACCATGGACATGCACATTTTTAATTGCTTTTCAAAGTATGTTACATATTTAAGATCTACAGTGTATTTAAAGCAATTTACACTTTGAACTGAACAAAGTGCATTTTTACCTACAAGGCCCCACTTCACTATTAACTTGCCTTTTAAGTTCCTTTCAAACCTTTTGTTACTTTTTCTTTTTGTTTTCTATACTAACTAAATCATTCAGGTACAAAAAATCTAATCTTGGCATGTACAATAAATACATGAGCCCACGTAAATTACATTAATATATTTCTGTGTCTTTAGACATGTGTAATCGGTTTCAATCTTCACAGTACAATGAATGTAATTTTTAGTGAACAAAGTAGCATAAATGCTTTTAGTAATGTCTATTTTTTCAAATGTGCTATTGTTCCATTAACGTCTGGAAATGCAGAAACTCTGACCTGCAGATGAATGCTGGCAATGAGTGACTTTTGTTTTTATTTATAGTTTATGCATCTGCTACCTGCGTGCAACACTCTAGTCTTCATTAAATATAAGCTGCTAGGCATTTGTTTAGCCTTGAATTTTCCTGCACTGTCTTGAAATAGCTGATGGTTCTCTGGACCGAAACACTTGTGAATGTCGCTAACCTCCTGTATAGATGGAGAAGATATTCCAGCAGCAGAAATGACAAGAGTTTGACTTCAGAAGACAAAAAAGAGAACTTGAACTTGTATTCAAGGGGTTACGTACACTGGGCATGATTCCAGAGAGCGCCCAGTGAGCCTATATTTCAGCACTCTCATCTTAGCAGCAACCCAAGCACAGAATCACGTTGTGGGTTTGTGGTTAGCCAGACTGCGGGCATAAAATACGAGCTGCATTAACTAAAAGGTCATTCATCTTCAGCCCTCACTCCGTCACTGCAATGTCATATGACATACAAATGGATCATTTTGGGAGGTCTCTCGGCACGTGCAGGCAAGAGGAAGCGTGTTATTAAATCCCCTGTACTGTTCTCGTACAAAAAGTAGTCATTCAAGACACAGTGAGGAGAATGACACCTTACGACGTGACCCCCGTTTCTAGGGAAGGCAAGTTTGGCCCGGTTTTTCTCTTTACCAGTTTCATCACTTCCAATAATAGGGGAATAAATAAAAGTAAATGCTTCTCAACACTGAGCCAGGAGCATATTTTTGACTGCCCCCCTTTTTTCCTTTGTGGAAAACTCAATTACAATAGGTGTCTTAACACCTGCAAATTTTACATTTCTGAATTTGCATATACGGTTCGGTCTGGTGAGCGAGGTCTTGGATGGAAGAGGAGCAGAGCAGGATGAAACCAAGCCCAAGGCCTGTTAAGCACAACTTTCAAATGAGCAGCACAACAGATTAGGATTGTAAAACACATCAATGTTATCAATGTTATTTTAAGTCTGCCAAATCAGTGGTACTTAATTATCATATAAGGGAGGGTTATTTATGTCTTTAACCATACATATACTGTAGTACATTATGCAATGGTATAGGGAATTTAGTTATACAAATGATGCTATTCGCAATGGTTCTTTGCACTGAACCTTGCTAATGTAGAGACCCAGAATATGTCCATGATTTACATCTACTTACTGGAGCCACCTTAAAGGAGGCTTGTAAGAAGGGGACTGGAGGACAATGAAACATACTGTCAATATTTTATAGTTTCGACAGTGCAGAGTAAAAGTTTGTGAACCCCCAATATCATTATGTGAATTTCACTTTTTTCTCTTCTTCAATTGGTAATAATTAATAATAATTATTAATTGCTTACTATTGCTTACATAGTGCTTTTCTGAGCACTCCACTCAAAGCGCTTTACAGGTAATGGGGACTCCCCTCCACCACCACCAATGTGCAGCATCCACCTGGATGATGCGACGGCAGCCATAGTGCACCAGAACGCTCACCACACACCAGCTATCAGTGGGGAGGAGAGCAGAGTAATGAACCCAATTCATAGAGGGGGATTGTTAGGTCATGATCATGACAAAATTATTTTTAAACATTTGGGGCTCCATCCATTCACTGTCTACAAATGGAAAATATTCTAGACAATGCTGACTAAAGATTGGTCATCCGGTTGAGACTTCTTCAAGAATAACCCTGAAAACTATCTAAGATGTCAAAAGAAAGCCAGACGAACAGCTAAAGATCTGCAGACCTCTCTCACTGCAGCTAAGGACATTGCGTTTGACTTCGGGGAAAAAAAAACTGTATGGGAATGGTTTTCAGGCAAGGACAGCCAGGAAAAACCATGGCTCTCTAAAATGAGCACTGCATCCTGTCTGAGGTTTGCCAAGGAGCACCTGGATGATCCACAAGAATACTGAAAGAATCCTCTCTGGACAGACAAATCAAAAGTAGAACTTACTGGTCACACAGAAAAATGTTTTGTGGGCAAAAACTAAACCAAAAACTGAAGAACCTTATCTAGACCGTCAAGAACAGTATGAAAGTGGGAGGATAATGACTTGAGGCTGCTTTGCTGCCTCAGGACCCAGGCGGTTTGCCATCACTGACAGAAACAGAATTTGCATTGTATCAGCAGATTCTTCAGAAGAATATCAGGCCATCTATTTGTCAGCTGAAGCCGAGCTGAAACTGGGTCATGTGACAACACAAATATACAAGCGGATCTGTAACAGAGTTCCATAAAGGGGCTGAAGAGATTTTGCCTTGTGGATCGGCCAAGTTAAAGACTGGACTTAATCCCATTTGAAAGACATTTCCTGTAACTGTCCTTGCTGCTCCAAGAGGTGTTAGTGACTGAATCTAAGAGTTCAAATACTTATTCCTTAGTGAACAGTTACTGTTGGATCATTTTGCTAATTAAGGAATTCAAATAAATCTTATGTCTTTGTGTTACATATTTATATATTTTGTGTTTCAGGGTTTATATTTATCTGTTATAAAGACTTTCTTGAAGCTCTAATTAGAGGTTAGGCCTTAAAATACAAAAAATAATACAGATTAGCCAAGGGGGTTCACAAATGGTGTTCGGCACTGAAAAGAAGCTTGTACTGTAAGTTGAATTTGCAAGGTGCTAACTTGGTTTCAAAGTATTTCCTTATCCTGCTGTTCCTAAATCTACCCTATTCAGAAGTGAAAACACATAGAAGTATCTATGCTGGGTAAAATGTTGCTGGCTACAATCATCTGCTCATGATAAACTAAAGCTTGACAAGGATAGAACTTAGTTGGCATGAACAAACACTGTGGTGTGGCAGTTAGCACCTTTGCCTCAAGGGACTTGAGCCCTGGGTTTGATTCTGACCTGAAGAACTGTGTAGAGTTTGCATGTATCCTCCAATTTTTCCTGCAAAGTTTTTTTTCCAGGTGCTCCAGTTTCTTCTCAACTCTCAAAGACACCCTGGCTAGGTTAACGTGCCTCTAAACTGTTTTCTGAAATAACAGACCGATTTCCTGTCCAAGGCATAATCCCACTTGGTGCCAAATGCTTTAAGGATGGACTCTGAGATGCTGCAACACACACAGCTTTCTGATACTGAACGGTTATATAAGATAGGGCAGGAACACTTAAAAAGTGTTCACAATTTAATCATGCTTCAGAAGTCTTGATATACTGAACAGAAGTTTTTTATGTCTGTGTTGGATAATTTGTCATTGAAAAGGATGTTTTTCATCATTTCGCCTTACATTAGTGACCGTTTAACACATTCCATGAGAAAAGATGCTGACAAAAGTACTTTCCAAATGCACTCCTATAGAAATGACAATTTGAACAATTCCTTTTGGGAGCCTGATGTCTGCAGCAGAACTAGCAGGGAACAACTTCAAGTTCAGAACAAAAAAAAATCTTCTAGGAAAGCCTCAACAGACTGTTGGACCTCTTAGGAACAATTAAAAACTTTGTGCAAAAAACATTTTGTTGAATTCAAACTAAAACAGAAAGAACTGTCATTGAAGTAATGAAACCCTTTATATTGTTTTCTTACATATTTGTCTTTTAATGTGCGATGATAACATCACCTCTTTACTGTATGCAAGATGAAAGCCGTGCAGCTTGGGAACAGGTGAATACCTGCAATTCTCACATTCAAAGAACAGTTTCTCTGAGCAGAACAAAAAGAACCCCTTTAAAGCTTAACCAGGAGAAACAGAAGTGACAGCAAAACAACTTTCTGTGATAATCTAAAGTATATGGAGCTTCTAAAAGGTCAGGTCTTATTGTTTTCAAATCTTAACCACTATGTATTTGACAAATATGCGTGTTTAGTATTATACATCTCATCTCCACAAAGAAAACACAAGAACAGAAAAACCTTAATTTGAATATTTAAACAGCTCTGTATACCCTAATAATAGAAACACTTTGAAATGCATGGACACAACTAGGAAAACATCAAGTAATGTAGTCCACACAGCAAAAATACTATAAAAACCCTTATTTAAATCTGCATAACTTTCATCACAAAGGATCTCAAAGTGCTTCATGTAACTCAGTTAAGAAGTGAAGTGCAATATCCTCTTATGTGTCCAGCAGCTTTTATTCATCAGCACTCCCATTACATGACAGGAGGTATGAGAAATTACTTCAGCACCTGAATGAAGAGGGGCATTTAGAGTGACCAAATCATGCAAGCTGTAACTGGAATTTAGTCAGGAGCATGGGGTTAACACCCTAACTCCTTCAAAACAGTCCCTAGGGTTCTATAATGAGCACGTATTCAGGCTCTTGGTTTAATGTCTCATCTAAAGAATGTACCTACTCGAATAAAGCAGCTCAGGTGGGTAGCTGCGCCAGCATGTGTAGGCTGCAAAGGAACATTTGTAGGTTTCGTTTCACACCTCTCCTCACCTCTCTCGACCTCGCACCACTTGATTGGCCACTCTGCCTCTCCCCTGCTCCTCTCTCCTGGATTTTGTTTTCCCATGCTATATCATCTTTTCTGCCTGCCCCACCTTTCTTACACCCAAAGAAGGCTCCCCAGCTGAAACGCTGTGTTTTCTTTCTTCTCTTTTCAGCAAGGAATAAAACTCTTACTTGTTCCTTTACTCTAATAAAGTATCCCTAGGGAACTGGTTGGAAAACTCTTGTCCATGAAGAAATGTCACCTAGTGATTCACTACTGCAACTCACAGTATACAGTATACAGTATACAGTATACAGTATTTTACCATATGGGTGGTATATTACAGTAAACCAAAAAACATATACTGTACCTTGCATACTGACACTTCAATGAGGTCTTGAATGCTGAGGTGCTTAATTCAGGTATTGGCCATTTATCTCAGGTTAAGTTAACGCGTTTTTTAGCCATTTCCAAAATAGTAAAAAACTGCACTGCATATCTTTAATGAAAACATCAGAGACGTCTTATGCTCCATTTGATTCAGCATGATACTGCACATGCTTACAGCACAACTGTAATATTATTCATTTGACCATTATTCCACCTTGGAGAAATATTGGTAAAAGCAGCAATTTACTGCACTTTTTGTCTCCTGCACTGTAGCCACAAACTAGCCCAGTTGGCACCCTTTGGTTGAATACATGGAAGAAGCAGCTCATTTAGGATAATTTTAACAGAAATGAGTACTGCCCAGCAATGAAAGCCATTTTATCCACTGATGTAACAATGAACTTTCACTGCACAGCTATCTGTCAGTTTCTGTCTATGCTGTGGCTATAAAGCACTACTGAGAAGGAAGGGAGACAGAAAGAGATAGGATGTTTCCCAACCTGGTCCTGGAAAGCAATGGCTTGCTCCTCAAATCCTGCGGCTTTAAAATAATTGACGACATCTGATACAGCCCATTCCTGAGGGTCAGGGAGCTGCCCATTCTCCACAGGGCTGCAACACAAGAGAAAGATTTGTATTAGGAAGGAACAGCAGTGGACACAACAAATCTTCGAGCGGGTAGATGACGGAAGATGACGGTTCTTTCTGGTGTCTGCGCTGCAATGTGTAAAAGCCGTAACACAAACAAAGCAGAGTTATTCATCATTTCTTTCTCCATTGCCATTTCCTGCAGATGTGCCTACGTAACAGCTGCTTGCTGAAGGTCTCCACACCTCTATGGCTGTACTGATAAAACAGGTTTTATGTGTAAACCGGGTGATAAAAGTAAAACTCCAAACAGCCAGTCACAATCGGCTTAGTATGAAAAGTGACCTTTGCGAGAGCATACACTAAATTCAGAAAGTCAAGGAAACTAGTGGAAATCTAACTGGTGTGAAAACTGCAAATAGGTTTTGGCTTAACTGCACGTGAAAACTGAGGTTCCTTTTTGTCTGCACCCGTCTCTAGTTCATCCTTCACCAAGCAATTTCTTTCTTTCTGAAAAAGCCGTAGAGGTGAAACTGATAATAAGATCATGACAACAATTACCAATGAGGAGGACATTTAGCCCATCTAACCCCTTCGGTGGTTAACAGTTATTTGACCCAAGAACCTCATGCAGACTTCTCTTGAAAGAATCCAGCTCAAAGAACAGCTTTGGGAAGTTTGTGCTATACTGCACAGCCCTTTTGTCTCTTAACATTTTCTTTAAAACAAAATTGTATTTTACATTTGGCCTAATTGATTTCTCAAACAATCTGGGATATTGTTTAATTTTTTTTGCTTTTGAGTCAATTCAAACTCCTGCCAACTGTCAGAAGGAACCCTCAGTTTCCTCAGAGAGCTTGTTCAGTCATGTCAGTGGTAAAGACACAGCCCACTGAGTTCTACAACAGCATAAAATTAAAAGAAAGCAGTGTAGGGCACTGTTTGTCCCTGCCTAGATGCACCCAAAATCTATTGCTATGCTTAAATGTAGAGCAGAACACAAATAGATAAATGCTTAAGTTTTGGTATTACATGATAATAAATATCTCAGTGCTATTTTACAACAATTCCTCTGCAATTCTCTATATCTCAAGGCAAAAGTCTCTTGGAACGTAATTAATGTACCACAGCAAGGTGAATGGAAGAACACAGAACAAGAGGGAAAAGAGTACAATCCAACATATTAAAAAAATAATTAAAAGACTTAATTCTTACATCAGCCTCTGAGTAAAGACACATCAGCCCAGTAGCAACAAATGAGAACTAACCCCAGATTTCTCCCTATAAAATCCAGGCTATAAGGCTCAGTTCTAATCACGCATTAAATGATCAGAAAATGCTTCATTTGAGAGCTATTATACTGTAGTGAAGCATATTTAATGGACAAAATCGAACTGCTATGGAAGTGCCACTGAAAATTAGCTCAGTTATATATAGCCTCTGAAAACCCACCATGTGCACATATACCCTGTGGGCTGGATATATGATCTGGTTCATGTCATATTGCTAATCCAGGATGTTAGAACAACTTGGGAAGTTTGATGCCAAGTTTGAAAGAAAGGACAAGCCACTTCATCTGAATGGTTTGGAAGGGATTAAATCTTTTATAAGACAGATTTAGATCTTTTATAAGAGAGATTTGTCTCACCTGTGCCTTCCAGTTAATTCATATCTTACAGATGTACTCAATGAAAACCCTTAATTAACTACTGTGCTTGTAACTTCCAATCCAGAAAAGTTTTGATTTAATCTAGGTCTTAGTCTATGTACAGCAACAATGTCCAAAAAGATGTATTTTGAGGTCTTTTCTGGGGTTGCTAGAAGAAATGCTGTTTCATGTAACTTAATGACCTTTAATTTCCATTTGCAAAATGACAAACTATGTAATACATGAATTCCTTAGAACCAAGCACACTGGAATTCGGGACTGCATAAGAAATGCTAACAAATGTACTAACAAAAAAAAAACTATGGTATAAATATGTGAACAATTATTTGGAAATCTGCCTAGTAGCATACATAGTTTACATTTATGATTGAGTTTCGTAACTTATTTAAGATAAAAACATTCAGGCCAAAGTTATGCGCTTCATAACAACACATTACCTATTTCAACCATGTTTCTAGATTGGTGTGTTTTAATATTAATGAAAACAGGAATGAAAAAAATGAATTAAGATTTTTTTTTGTATGATATTTTTAAACTGAAAGAAGAATGTGTTAGATTTGTCTTCTACAACTTACAGTTCTATTCAACAGACCTGCACACATGAATAACTTCTGTATATTCATCTGGAGGCTCATTAAACATCTGTGTCGGTTTTGTTCAAATAAAAAAACGTGATACACAATACAAACAGTGCCACACTGTGAAGAGAAGACTCATTTTACCTGCAGCTGTTAGTTTTGTTATAAATATCAAATGTGCTTCAACATTTTTTGACAACATTCCAATAATTCTAAAACCGATCGTTCTTTCCAATATTTTCAACATTTTCCTTCCTGGAAACCTGTAGGGTAAAACAAACTTATGAATACTTGCTTTTGATCCAGGGCCTAACTTGTTCTGTAGCAGATGAACAAAACAAAATCAATGTTTTAGTGGAAAAAAAAGGCATTTTGATCCTTCAACATTTTTTGCCAGATCCTGACAGCAGGGATTTGCTAAAGGCTACAGCAGACAGACTGATCCAGCAGGCAAAACATCTGTCACAACCCTTGCAATGTTCACACTAATTTACTTCAAAAGGCATACCTACAATACACTGCCATTCATGCTGGTACTTTTCATATGTTCAACTGATATCCTCACAAATGTTAGGTAGGTATTTTGTTAAAGTAAATAAATGCTATACCCATTTTTAGACAAAAATGAAGGTTTCGAAATCTACACAGTTCCCCAGCATTAGCTGGTATGAATATAAACATGTTATGGTCTATCCAAAGTTGTATTTCACACCTGTCCTCTTCTCGTTTGGCCTTTTCTAGAGGTGTTCCGAGTACTGTTTCTGAAAAAGGCCTGCACCTCCTTCCAACCCCACTGGACACTCCCCTCAAAGAGCTTTACAGGTAATGGGGACTCCCCTCCACCACTAGCCAATTCATAGAGGGGGATTATTAGGAGCCCAGTATTGGTAAGGGCCAATGGGAAATTTGGCCAGGACGTTGGGGTTACACCCCTACTCTTTTTGAGAAACGCCCTGGGATTTTTAATAAACACAGAAAGTCAGGACCTAGCTTTTACGTCTCATCCGAAAGGACGGCACCTTTTTACAGTACATTGTCCCCATCACTATACTGGGGCATTAGGACTCACATAGACTGCAGGGTGCAACAGCGTATGTCAAAAGAATTTAACAGTAATCAAAACATTTCCTTCAAAATGGTGCTGAAATTGTAGAACTCAATTTTATCCACACCAGCTTTTGCTTTCAAAGGTATGCACTTTCAGAGTTTGCCTTCCTTCTCAAAACGCAGCTGCCTCCTTTTAAAAACATTACATATTATGAGAAGTAACTTTTCACCCTGTTATTGTGCTGAAGGGGCATTTTTAAGCAAACAAAAAACCTGTGACCAAGAGGAAAAGAGAGATCCTGCTTTGTTTAATATCTACACGATATCATAAAAAAACATTACATATTCTTCTGCCTTCAGCCTCATGGAATCAACTAAGATTAATTTCTGTTCAGGACTTTCCACAGTACACAATAAAATAATGTCAAAATTAAAATCGCTTACTTTTTGATGTCCACTGAGCCATTTGCCTTGTTCTCCATGCCACCTGGAACAAAACAAAAACCCAAGACAGTTATTGTGAGTGACCATTCACATGCCTCACAAAAAATGTAAAGTTCTCAGGAACATTATGAGGAAAATAGTGCTTGCTCTAACATTTGTGTAATACTCTGCAATGCAAATTCAAATTCTCTAAATTTAAGGTTTTAAAGGAATAGCAATTCTGATGCTTTTCAAAACAGAATAAGCCAAGAAAAAAAATGATTATTTTGATCTGGAAAACTGTTGATCAAATCCATTTTTGGCCCAGAAATAATTTAGTGGCACTCAGAACATCTTGCAAGGTTCAGGTGGGATGGGGAATTGTGAAGTTAGGCATGATGCATCACAAGAGGAAGCAGTCTAGGGAGTGCAGTCATTCTCTTATCTCAGTTACACTGCTCACTTCCTCATTTCATCATTGACTGAGGAGAAAGTTTTAGGATTAAAAGGTTATTCTTCCTATACAAACCCTCACATTCTGAAAATGTGGTGATATATTTAAAAGCCTGCTCTGCTATTACAGAGACAGAGAAAGAGGGAGGGAGAGAGAGAGAAGGAACATGCATAATTTGACTGGAGCGTCGTCTCATTTGTGAGCCAATCTTCTGTGCACTTTGAAGGAAAACCAAAACAAAACAAAACCCACCTATACAGATTTAATCAAGAAAATGATGTTCTCTTCATGAGAACACAAATAACTTCCTAGGTATCCCTTCAATAAGGAGGCAGATTTTTTTATAGTGAGTAAAAAAAACAGCTTGGATTTCAGCCAAATTGACATCACAAACCACACATTGCCTGCGCCAACTGCCTTATGTCTCTATGGCTGATTTTTTAAAGAGACAGCTCATCTAGTCAAAAGATTTTAAAAAAAGCTTACTCCTGCTGCAGAAGCAAGGCTATCGTTTCTTATAATATCTACTGATGACTGTGGATGAGTATGTATGGTTCTGTACAGCAAAATAACCTTGTCTCCATCTTGACTTTAGAACAGAAATATCTTCAAAAAACAAACCATATGGCTCTTCATGGCTGTGCTCAGTGCTTAGGTTGTTAAAAATCCAGTGAATGGAGAGTGGAGATGGAGATTGTAAAACAGGGGTGTCGACCTGCTTAAAAAACCTTTTAAAACAAAGAATAGTGGAGCAAGATGTGTTTAATTTTTAAACTCATCAACTTCCAACTGAATTCTAGAACCCCTTTTCAAAACTACACTAAATTTGTTTTATTCTCTTTTTCAGAAAATTAATAATTTTCTATATTCCCACGCTCTGCTCTTTTAAATACACGCATAAGACATACAAGCACAGTACATTAGGTGAGACCTTATGGTATAAATAATCGAACTGAAAAATTAATACACACAATAAATAGGACACAGAGGAGACAGCTGACAGCTGTATATTGACCTTATCAGCAATAATTGTCATCAGTAATAATAATTCACACAGAGCCATTCATAAATGTTACTGACCAAGCAGCACTGAAAAAAATGAACATATTCATGAATCACAAGATACTAAGAAAGAGCAAAACACTATCTCCTGTTCTTCCTAACCAGCTGTGCTGAAATCCAAGCAGGATTCACAAACTGTGATTAAACATTCCGTGAATATATATATATATCTATAAATAACACTACACAGTCATGAAAACATTAGCCCACAAAATGTAGGATTCTTTTAGATTTACGCATTGTCTTGAAACCCTGCTGTCAGCTTCCCAACAAATAGCAAGACCTCTGGTTATGATGAACAGGAAACCACTCTGGCAAGAAGCACACATTGACTTCCACAGAAAATGATTTAACTCATAAAGAATCCTACTTCCTTCATCTTGTCGTCTCTGGTCCATTTTTCTTCATTGTGTAGGTTTTACAGATCTACTGAAAGGACTGTGCCCTGTGGATTGCAGGGCATGCCCCTTGTATCATGGAATAAAACACTACCAAGCTCCTGAACCATTGCATTACAGACCAAATGAAAAGTATAAATATTGCTACTGTTGTATGGTGTTGCCCCATAAAGCAAAACAGCACTGAGGCTTAATCACCACATTTTTCCCCCTGCACAACTATGAGATGTTCAAGCTAGGAGGTGACTGAAAATGTTATTTTAATCTGCAGGTTTGATGTAACTCATGTGCATGGAAAAATTGTGCATTTTTGAAGGAAATGGCTTAATCTTAAAGCAGGAATCCCACATCTACACTGGGCCAATTCTGTCCAATTCCGGCCCCTGAGAGTTTGTCCTTATCCCCATAATGGAGACCCATCTTATTCTTGGGGAGAATTCTGTGCCATTGCAGAACCAGATATCAGAATATTCTGAATCACATGCTAATAGAAATCCAATTGATCAGAAAACACTAAAATACAGTTAAGCCAAAAATGTGAGTGGGAGGAAAGGGTATGGAGGTGTCAAAAATGAATTTGTTCTCCCTTTTGTTTTGCGTTGTTATGAAGATACTATTAGGCCACCGATGTGCCATGTGCATTTTTAGACAATCTAATCAGCAGAAGCAAGGTGGCAGGAAAGGCAGGCACTAGGTGCACATCAATAGGAGACTACGAATTTCGGAGAGTAGCATACCCTTGAAGCTTGAATGCTGCACTAGACATATTAAAAAAAGCCCATTTCATCTGCAAGACTTTAGACACGCTTCAAAATCAAAAGGGTTTTTAACTCTTTGATTGCAGGGCCTAGAAAAAGCCCCATTTAATATACCATACAAATCCCTAGGAAAATGCTTCTTTAAAGCTTCTAAAATTCCATAGACTGAAAATGACTTAAAATTTTATTTTATTTTGATGCCTGCTTTTGATTATTGTTTAGGAAAGTAATAAAAACTTTATAAAATCACCTTTTTTTTCATCACTATGCAAGACCATTTTTCGTCACAGTAAGCCTAAAAAAACTGCTAGAGAAATGTAAGAGAAATTTATTCGGGTGGCTATTTCTTTCTGTTTTCTCTTGTTCTGAAATTCAAGAATTACCTTGAATAACAATCAGAAACAGCATATCAAAAATAATAGCAACGGAAACACTAAATATCCTTCTCTCAAAACATGAGCTGCATTCACTGTATTTTTATCTTATTCTGGAGTAGACTGTAAACTGCTTAAAGGCTCCTTCTCCCTTGATCAACTCCAAACAGGAGGAATTTCCACATCTTCTTTTTCCATTGGGACTCATTTAGGAAACGCAGACTGAAAGCTTTTTCACTGTTTGTATTTGCTTGCAAGGATGTGTGTGACAGAATGTGTGCAATTGCGCGTTTTTTGCACGTTTCTACAATAACACTCAAGCTTGTTGCTTAGCAACCTGGAAGAGAAGCACTTGTTGACGTACAACAGGTAATAAGAAACAATGAATATATAGTCTGCAATTGCAAAAGAACTCCCAGTGTAATTGGTGATCAATTGCTGTACCCAAAAACAGAAACGGAGCCACCAAGCAGAAGACAATGTCATGCTTCCTTGAATGGGAAATTGAACATTTCCTGGAATGAGGATGTCAGCAACTGTTTTTTAGGAGAAATAATGCTGACAATTAAGCACTGGAAACACTCTAGGGTTTGCTTTTTTTCCATCACAATATATCTGCTAATTTAAGATGGTATTACACTGAGATTAACACAGACAAGTTAGCAGCAGGGCACATTAATGAAAAAAACATATTAGATGCTTAAAAAGAAGCAGCAATGGTAAAGATGGTAGCTTTATCAATTGCGTTTTAGCCTGAAAAGAAAAAATGTTTGGCTAATTTAACTGCTGATTATTTATGAACAGCCCTGGTTGCAGGGATCAGAACATGTTTAAAAAGTGAACCTTCACACGGAAAAAGAAATACAGACAAAAATAGACAAAAAGGTTGATGTTTTAGTGGAGGTTTATCATTAGAACAACAGATTAAATAGACTATCTACAGCCTATATGCATGTTGACATCATAATACAGTTCAGACTAGAATAGTTTGAAATACACGTATGACGTAAACTCACTTTTCACTGAAAGTGCACGAGTTTATGAAATTCTGGATCAGAAACTGCTGCACTAACACAGGCCATTCTGGCAATACAGCTTGACTTATATAATATTACAGCACATTAGTTCAAGACACACAAATGCATGCTTTTGCTAATTGTGGTCTACACTAAATCCACAAAGTAATTTACAACAATGCAGTGAATGATTTTGCATACTGTTACTGTAATGCTAAAAGAAACTGCCTTTCAGAACTTTTATAGCATGTAAAATGTAAATACTAAGAGGTCAACATATTGGAATTTTGTTAACTCTTTCTACAAAACACATATCTAAGTCTTTAAAGTAAAAAACATCATGGTTCAAAATAAATTAATTTAACAAAATGTGCAGCCAATGATAGCATATGGCAGTCAGTCAAGCACTGGTATCAAAGGACAGCATCTCTCTTATGTGCACAGACATCTTTCAAATGGAGGGCACTTCAAGCAGTTATTTTCATGATTTAATGCTGCTTTTTAAATAAGATTCCAAACTGAAAAGCATGGAAAATAAGAATGGCTAACATCACTGTGACCCAGCAGAGCTGCAATGTTCTTAAAAATGCACACAGACTGTAAACAATTAACAGCGCAGCCCTAGATATAGATTCCAAGAGTGGCCTTTCACGCCCACTTCTCTGCATACGCCCTGCTCTCATTACTCAGTTCAGCTCTCCTCCCACCTTCGACATCCACTACTGTGAGTTATATAACACTAGAAACCGATTACATAAAAGAGGCCAGCAACTCTTGGAGGCATAAAATGTTATCACACTAGTGCAAAAAGCAATACAGCACTCAAGCAGACAGAAAGGTACATTTGCAGTGGAACTCCTGTCGAATTTTAAAATGGTGGCTTACACATGGCCAGGCTAACACATCAACGAGCTGCTATTATTTAGTCTGCTTCATTGGCACCTCCTTTTCCCCATCCATTTCTTCTACCAGAAGCAAACAGCCCGCATTCAACCCAAAACC